TTGGAAGAACTACTCCAAGATACTTCAGTCAATCTGTAATTTTGAATGGGAGATTATGCAAAAATTCAGCATTGAGATCAGCACCCAGCGACATAAATTCACTCTTCCGCCAGTTAATGGTGTGTCCTGAAATTTCACCAAATGTTCTTATAAGATCTAGTAGAACAGGAACAGATTGCTCAGGTTGTGATATGAAGAGAACAACATCATCCACGTATAGGGAACTATGATGCTCCACATTACCCAATCGGATGGGTTCAATAGAAGGGTGGTTCCTAATACTAATGGCAAGAGGCTCAATAGCAATGGCAAAGAGCAACGGGCTGAGGGGGCAGCCTTGGCATGTCCCGCAGTGTAATAAGAACGGCACTGATCTTTCTTGATTTGTGAGGATGGAGGAATCCACGAAACGAATTGACTACCAAACCCAAATTCCTCCAATACCTTCACCATGTAGGCCCAAATGCCTTTTCCTCATCAAGGCAGAGGGCAGCTACCCTTGAACCCCTGCTATACCCATGATACATTATATTCATTAATCTCCTGACATTAAAAAATGAGAACCTATTGGGGACAAAGCAAGTTTGATCAGCATGAATGACAGATGATATATATATATTTATTTACCCTATTTGCTAATAACTTCGCAAAAATGTTCTGATTTCAACAATGCAATTGGATGAAAAGATGAAGGTTCAGGCTCATCCCTACCCTCTTTTAATAATAATGAGATATTGGCTTCATACAACGTGGAGGGAAATTTCTGGATTTCAGATGAATGATTGAACATCCTCAATAGAAGGGGAGCAAGCTTCTCAGAATACTTTTTATACAGTTCAATTTCGAAACCATCGAGGCCAGCAGCCTTGCCATTAGGGAATGATTTTATAGAATCCAAAATCTCTTGAGTGGTGATGTCAGAATTTAAAGCCTCTCAAACAGCATTTAGGGAGCCTCGGACGCCCCAGCCAATCAGAGACACCCCCCTTTTGACATGTACAACTGTGCGTAATATTCCCTAAAACAATAATTTATACACTTAGGATCAACAACCAGTTCCCCAGATTTCGATTTAATTTTGTGTATGGCTCTACTAGCTTGTAAGCCTCTTAACTGTCGGGCTAGTAATTTATGGGGCTTATCCCGTAACTCAAAATGTTTCTGTTGGATCTTAACAGTTGGTCACATACCTGTGATAGCTCAGTTTCAATTTCTAACAGCCGTTTTCAGTGAAGATTCAAAGAAGTTATGTGACCCCGAATCACAACTTTGAAAGTTTCTCTAAAGTGCAGTGACTTCTGAGTTGTCATTACTCTCCAGAAATTCTGAGATCTTAGTAGGTATGTATTGACAAAATGAAGCATCAGAAAGCAGTGATGGGTGAAGACGCCAGGTATACTGCTGCTTTTTATGATTAAGGTCAAGAAGTGAAGTGGTCAGAAATTAAAATATTGGGATATTTTGAAGAAACCACATTCAATATCAATTTAGAGTCAAGTAGAAAATAATCTATTCTTCAAAGGACTTGTGCATTTGTGAGAAACAAGAATAGTCTCTATCTGTAGGATGCCCCAGTCTCCAAACATCAACTAGATTCATGGAAGCCATCAAGTTATTTAAAACCGTGGAGGAGGTAGACGACTGATTTAGTTGGACCGATCTATCCAATCGGTTATCAAGCATGCAGTTAAAATCGCCACCTAAATGCCAATTAAATGTGTATCAGAAAGATCAGGCAGTAAGTTAAACACCTTACAGAAGAAGGCTGGGTCATCAAAATTTGGACCATATACACTGAGGAGACTCACTCATTTAACAATTCACTCATTTTGTTACTTCTGTGTTGGCTTAATTTACCAGCCACCGAGATTCCCCTGACCCACTTTGTTTGAACTAATCAAGTTGCAGTAGAGAACTATGAGGAACTAACGTAACGTTACTGAGCACCAGTTGAAAAAGATGATACAAATGATAATTTTGATTTATTTATTCTGTTGTTAAAATGGCAATTTGGTGAAGAGGAAATGATGACTTAAGACTTACTTGTAACTTGCAAAACAATAACATGGTCCCACCTCTGCTGATTACTGACAGAGCCACTCACATCTGATTAATGACGATTGTCTTTGAGAGTCTTCCACGACTACCACTTTGGTGTTCTTACAGGTTAACAGATCACGTATCAGACACACGGGGTGACAAGTACACAAAGTCTCTGTCCACTCTACATTACAGAATAGGTCCACATTGTTCCTCGATTTTTGCTGCAAAGACATCCATTCCGATATAAGTGATAAGGACAAAATCAACAGTGCTTGTTCTGTTTAAAATGCTTTCTTAATATTTGCTGAAGCTAATATAAGGTGTACAGAAAGTTACAGTCTTGTACAAAATTCACAGACATTGTTTCCTTGCTGAACTGCAGTGGAGCATCGAGCACAAAGAGGGAATTTCATAATAAAAACAGTGTAACTTTGGACGCACACGTAATATCAATGTTGATGTGTTTTTATCCTGTAGTTTATTCCAGTTTATAAACACCTTTTGTCATTGCAAGCCACAGTGTTCAAAAATACTTAAGTAAGATATTTTGCCAATTTCTCTGTCTTTCGTTATTCAGAGTGGTAACACCTTTCCTTTCTGCTCCAGACTTTTGCTCTGACCTTTGCCTCTTGCTTTGAATGGCTTTGTAGTAACTATTGGTTGGTAAGCTTCTGATCTTCAAGAATTTTCTGATTGTCAACAAAGCCCATGAAAATACCAAAACCAACAATGATTGCATACTAACAACTATGATATATATTATCCCTCTGTGCCATAGAGCTTCATTGTAGACTATACCTATTAAAAACATATCAATGAGCCACACTGTTGCACGGGGTAACATGTTCCTTCATTACCATGAACACACACACTGTAGTTATTTTGTCTAAATCCCACACCGTCCTGCTGCTGAGAGAAAGAGGGCGAAAGAAAGTTATTCTTGATATGTTGATGCCAGTGAAGCTGATTTGTGTTGAAAACAGAAAGAATGTGCAGCAGGCATCAGGATGGGAAATGGGCAGGGTGCTGATGGAGTGATAGTGACGGGCTCATGTTCAAAGAGTGAAGATAAAGAGAAGTGCTCCTGATAACTGCTGGGCGGGCTGCCTATGGGGGATAGTTGTTTATGAAGGTGGTCAAGTCCCACTATCTGCTAAAGCCTCCCTTACCACTCGCATCACATCACTAACTCCAGATTTTACTTTTAACTATGTCACCATAGCGACCCAACAATCTGAATATATCTGACCTTATATGGTCTGGACCTGCTGGTATGAACTAAGAAGATAACTGCGGGTCAACTTGGTGTTTGTATTTCCACTGTGTTTATCTGTGCAAGAAGATGTGACTCTTCCCTGATTATTATCCTGATTCATTTTTGTATGTTTATGTGTCTCCACCCTGAAAGAAAATCACACTCCAGAAATATATATTAACTTTCTCTAAATGTTTATAGGTTAATTTAGGAAACCCAAGAACTAAGGAGGTCAGTGCCAGAGAAAGTGTTGTGTTTTCCAGTATTGATGCCTTGTGTCTAAGTGATGTATAGAAAAGTGCCTGCTAGTCATTGTTATTTCTTTTTATTCTGTGCATGTGTTAGTTTGAGCTTTAGTTGCAATGGGTGTAGGGATCTGCAAACAGGAAATCCACAGTCACATAGGCAGGAAATGCTGCTGTACAGATGCAGAAATAAACAAGACATATAAGGTAAACACAGGCACTACTAACAGCACTGTCAGTTCAGGACACAAGTACAAGCACTTTGAGTTAGAAGTGGCTCAACACCCCATTATGGTAATGGTGGTGGTTTAAGCCAGTGGGTACACTTTTTTCATTAATGTAACCCCTTTGAAATATTTTTTCAAATGGTTTAACCAATGCAAAACATTTTTAGTAGAAATAACAGCCTATAAAGAGGTACAATACAGCTGAAATTTTTATTTTTTAAGTTAAGCTAAATGGAAACAGTGATTCCAATTTTAAACCAGGAAAAGACCCATTCTGAAGCTAAAGATTGATCACAATGGTTTAGGAATCGGAAGATGGAATCTATTATCGATAAGGAAGCTGTAATTGGGGTATTCTTGGATAAAAAGCACATGATTCTACGTGGAGGAATGGTGTGCGTATTAAACTGCACTATGCAGGTATTAATGGTAGAATGTTTTTGTGAAACTGTTGACAATGATAATGGTTCATCATATGACATAGTCCTACAAGGTTTCTGGAAGTCTTTATTTGAGGATGAGATGATGGCACCATCTAGAGGAAAGGTAAACATATTAGTCCTCTGTTCTGTCAAATTCATCTAAAATTAAATTCATGATATCTGGGTTCAAGAAGAAAATTCCAGCTTTTGATCTTCGTATGTATCAGTGTCCATTAGAAAGAGTCCAGGTCTCAACATTGCTGTGGATGTGGACGCCAAAGCTTCATGGGGGGCAAGGCCTTCTTGATTTTAGTGTATGCCAGAAAGCCTAGAAAATATACACAGTAGGCCTATATCTCAGCATTTGGTACACTTATGTGAAGTAAAGTAAAGTAAATTAACAATTAATAAAACAGTAGCAAAGCATCAGGGAAGTACATCCTGTATTTGGCAGTGGCCCAATCTATGTCCTGTGTTTGGTTTGTCTGTTCTGGACTACTGTAGAAGCATGACAGCCTCAATGGAAGGAGACATGCATGTAGATAACCTATACGACTCATTCTGAGGTGATTCAGGTAATATACATACTATGAATATTATATTCCATTTTTGCTAATATATCCTCCTAAATGTTACACGCTGGACGGTCCAGTCTCCAGTCTTGATGTTGATCCAGTAAGTATAATGGTCCAGTCTTGATATACTATATCAAAATGTATAATGTAAGATCCAGCTCTACATACGCTGGTCCGGTAGATGGCGGTAGCTTGAAAGTTTAACTTGAAATCCGCCAAAAAACGCACAGAAGAAGGAGAACGCGGAGGACGCGGAAGCAAAAGCAGGATAAAAGAAGGAGACGACGAAGGTATAGTGCTTGATAGACAAACTTCGTCAGCACTGGTAATGACTCCGTTAAAGAGCCCTCCTTTTCCTTCTTTTTCTTCTTTTATGTCTTTTTTATAATGTGACCATTTCTGAATACATTCGACCAATGCATGTGTTCCATATATGTAATGTTATCTTTATTTCTAGCAGCGAATGTTAGCATCTTAGCCTCTGTGGTCACAGCAACATTAACACCATTAATTTTCCTTCCAACTAGCTGATTTAAATTGGAAGAAAACTACAATGACTCGCCATGGGAAGAACTGTACAGCCGGGGCTGTCTACACATACCACGAGAAAAAGAAAGATACAGGTGAGCCATACCAAGCTAGAAAACTGTCCCCCCAACTCAGTCCCATTAAAGTAATGGCTGCTATTAGCGAATAAACCTGAAATACGGAGCCCAGCAGGGTCATTTTTGATCATTTGTGCGGACGAATTATTTAAGTAGTTACCAGTAATACGCAGCTGATTGTAGCAGTAGGAGGTGATGTCAGTGTGGCCAAGAAGTAAGTCTGTAAGAGCCAAAGAAGTACCACTTTGGAGAGCACACCAATCACTCAGACACAGGGTGACCAGATCCTATGTGGGACACAGGGTTGGATCTCGAGCATTGAGCTAGATAAATAATCATGTTGTAGCATAGGGGTAGCAGAAATCTGTGCTGATTTCCTTACAGTCACATATATCAATATTTGCTTAGAAAAGCCCCCAAATAAAGATATTTGAACTAAAAACATTACATCATTGTTTCATTGAATAGAAATATCTAAAGGGGTGGCAGCAAGTTATCTAGAGCCGCCCCTGGTAATAAACACTATTGGACTCTACCTTACCTCAGTCAACATCCATTATTACTGTCCTATTCCTCTTTTTCAAGTTCAGCACCACACTAAATCTCTAGTCTAATAATGACCTGTATTGTCAGCAGATGCTCTGTGGTGGATGTGGGATTTTATAACTGAACTATAGGCATTGTGATTAGGCATTGTTAATACCAGGTCTAAACAGGAATTAAGTTGCAATTGACCATTCAATATTTTAATGGATATACTTTCTACCTATTCCCATTTTAATGCTCGATTTGTATAGTACAGCAAACAAACAAAAACTGGATTAGTGTGTTTATTTGTCCTAATGACACCCCTACTAGCAGCTAGGCATCCTTTTTCCACTAAAACTAAAATGTTGGAGTCAGATTAGCAAAATGTTTTCAGGTAGATGCATTTAAAAATCAAAGTTTCTGACAAGATTTGGACAGCGTTTCCTATTAAATCTTCCAATACGCCATGTAAGCATGTTGTGTGTGGCTCTCCTCCTGCTTAGCTGCATCTGGTTATGGAACACAGAGCATTCGACTGGGCAAAGACGCGATCAAAGACTTTGACTGCTGCTGCCTGTCCCTGCAGCCCTGTCAGGATCCTGTGGTGACGTATGTTTGTCTCTCCAACACATACACATACACACTCACACACACAAACATATTATAAATACATGTACAGATATATAAACATTGTATGTCTTGTTTCTGTTGCTCTCCACAGTCCAGATGGATACTTGTATGAAAAACAGGCCATTCTTGAATACATTCTTCACCAGAAGACAGAAATTGCCAAAAAAATGAAGGTAATCCCTGCACATCTGTCTCAGCCTAAATCCACACTGCATTGTCTAATGAAAGTCCATACTAGCGACTCCAGGTTGTTTTTGTTGTTGAGTCCACAGTGGAATAACATAAAAAACAGCTACTACATATTTTCTTCTATGCTACTGATGAAAGATGTAAGTGAGACATTGTGGTGCCGTTCACAAAACTTTTATTTCCTATGCAACAGCAAACACAATCCACGACTTTCTAACACTGTTGTAATCTATCCTATCTCACAGCACTGCAGCAAATGCTACACTGACTACATTTACATGCACACTCAGAAAATATGTCAATGTTCCGCATTTGATAAGGGTCATGTAAACAGCATATTCTGTTTGAATATTCGTAATTAGACCGAATTCCAAATGGATCAGATTAAGAAATGGTATGGTAAATGGTAAATTTGACTTTACTTGTATAGCGCCTTTGTAGTCATCCAGCTACTCAAAAAGTTAAAAAATACAGGTTAATGACATCAGCTCTGGTGAACGATCGGCAATTAGGGCTGCAACTAATGATTGTTTTCATTATCAATCAATCTGTCAGTTATTTTCTCGGTTAATCAAGTAGTTGTTTGGACAATGAAATATCAGAAAATGGGGGAAATTGTTGATCAAGCCCAAGATGACATCCTCAAATGTCTTGTTTTCGCCACAACTCAAAGGTATTCAGTTTACTCTAATAGAGGAATGAAGAAACCACACATTTTTATGTTTTTGTTTCTGTTGTCAGTCAACAGAATGAGTATGAAATGGTGACAAATTGCATCTCAAATTCTACCTTGACCAGCAGTCATTCCAATGCTGCTACCTTTTATACAGTCACTGTTTTATAATTAGGACATTGTCTGACAAAATCCACATAAATACAAATTAATGACAGCACATGTGCTGTGTAGTCAGCTGTATTTAAAATAATACAAATAAATTTAAAATAATCAGTCACAGAAAGTTTGAGCCCTGGGCAGCTTACATCAACAGCCACAGTTGACTCCTACCAGTGACTCTGTATCAATGTGTTTACATAAATTCTTCATGTTATTTTATACAGCTAAATCTCTAATTTTTGCTTCTTTTTCTGTTATAGAAGAATTAAGAGAAATTCTCTCTTCTTACTCAACTGTGTTTTCCTCCTCCAATTCTTTAGGCATATGAAAAGCAGAAGCAAGCGCAGAAGAGCAGTAGCCAGCTTGAGTCCAAGTCAGAGGAAAGAGAGAGGGTGGAGAGGTTTAAAACCAGGGAGAACAGCATTGTGTCCAAGCCCATCAACCCATTCACATCTGGTAGGTGTCTGGAGCATTCTCAGTATATCACTGCATCCCCTCTGTCTCACTCAACTGAGATTGTGTACACACCAAACCGACTTATTTTGAAAAAGCAGTTTACAACTGAACTGTGCATTGTAGTCAACATATGGTGTGGAGAAGTTTCCTCTGTCTTATTCATAAAACCTGCTCTCAGGAGTCAAAATCCAAAAATCTTACTACAGAGTAGGCACTAGTAGAATATGTTCAGAGCTGTTCACAGCACAAGTATAAAACATCACTTTACCATCGCTTAAAACAACCACAATTAGTGCATTTCCTCACTTAAACAGAAATATGACTAGCAAAGGACAATAATGTTGCATTCAGGGCACACAAAATCCCACATGCGTTGAAGCAATTAACAAAACATAGACAACAACAATATAGTGCATATGTACATATGTAAATTCAATTGGGATAATACAAGACCAAGATTCGAATGAGTAAAACTGCAGCTTTCTATAACTAAAAGAGGCCTCTCTGTACCTAACTTTAGGTTCCATCACTGGGCTACTCAAATGAGACATATGTTATATTCTACATCAGTATTCACAGATGTAGAAATGATAGGATGCGATTCATTATTACCATCCAATTTACCGTTTATGGAGAGAACCTCCATGCATCCTTTGATACAGGACAATTTTGTGGTTAAAAACATTTTAAGTACTTGGTACAAAATGTGTAAATATTATGGAAGGATGGGATCTGTCAATGAAATGCTTTCATTTCTTGCTTCTGTGGTCTGCTTAGATACTGGATTTAGGAGATGACAGGATGTAGGGATAATTAATATAAAGGATCTGTTTAATGGGTTGGCAACGAAATGTTCATTCGATTCCCCACTATAGAAGGAAGGTGAAGTAAAGATGAAAAGGAAATTAAATGCAAAACAAAAGCATGCTGTTAAGTGTGTGTGTGTGTGTGTGTGAGAGACCGAAGTTATGTTCAGTGGCTGTACTGGAGAATACAACCATTGCATTAATTTGTCCCAATGTATTAATTGCTTTAATTTTCTCATGCTTCCAGTTCTAATTGGAACAATTATTTGTGAAAGTAAATGCATTTGCAATGTTGAGACAGTAGAAAATGTAAAGCACGTGTGTTTTTCGCCTTCAGGGCAGAGCAAAGGAGGTGAGAAGAGCAGGACAGACAGCAGCTCAGCAGAATCATCCACTATTTCAGCTGCCACTTCCAGCCAGAGCCTGCCCAGTTTCTGGGTTCCTTCACTGACACCAGAGGCCAAGCCCACAATGCTTAAGAAACCAGTGAGTAACTTCTCCTGCCATGTGATTGCAGTGGTTGCTGATTCTTGTAGGCGGCTGCTGTTGCTCAGAGGCAGGGTAGATCGTCCACTAATTGGAAGGTTGTTGGTCGCCACATGTCGAAGTATCCTTGAGTAAGATACTGAACACCAAATTGCTCCTGATGCTGTGCATCGGTGTGTGAATGTGTATGAATTTTGTCACGTTCGACGGCACAAATACAACATAAAAGAGGGTAAGTAAACAGTAGAAAGCAGCATTTGTTACTTGGCTTTGTCTGCAAGCAGTTCCCCTTTCATACAGCATTTTGGATGTGTTTATGTCTTTCACAGTACTATAGCCAGGCCTATCTCCACAGCGCTGGAGAAAATGGCAGTTCAATTCAATTTTATTTGTATAGCACCAATTCATAACAGATGTTATCTCAGGACACTTTTCAAATGGAGCAGGTCTAGACCGAACTCCTTATAACATTTACACAGACCCAATAGTACCACCATGAGCAAGCACTTGGCGACGGGGGCAAGGAAAAACTGCCTTTTAAGAGGCAGAAACCTAGGACAGACCTCCTAGGTGGGTGGTCGTCTGCCTGGGAGGGAGGGGGAGACAGGGAGAGAGAGAGAGAGAGAGACAGGATACAAGGTTTTTGAATGTGCGACGAACGATGCGGGAGTTATTAGCCTAAATGCATTTTTTATGATAGTAGCGCCACCTAGTGGCCAACCCGAAATATATATCAAATTTTTCACCAGGCCTGACCACTTTGCCAACTAAAATTGAGTTTTCGTATATGTTCAGGGGGGCAAAAATGCAGTCAAAGGCGCTAAAAATAATAGGTAAGAATAATATGAAACATAGCAAATACAATAGGGACCTTTCCGGTCGCTGGCTAATTAAAGCTGCAAGCAGCGTTGAACGGGATCTCGCACCCGGCGCGCGTCGGGCGTGCTGCGACCGCGTCACGGGCAGTCGGGGTGTGCTGCGGCCACATCACGTGCCGTTGTAACAAGCGCGGACCACAACATGAAAATGTCACGTAAATCAGCTAAAAATCGCCCTGCAGCACTTAATTCCTGTTGCCACTAGGTGGCGCTATCACTATGTGTTCAGGGCGGGACTCTTATCAGACAAGTGAAGTTTGGAGCCGTCTCGCAGGTTCTCATGGATCCTGGTGGAGCCTCCTGCCATGGTCCTGCTTGACTGCCATTGCCAATACTGTTGTTGCTGTGCATGTGTCTGTGTGTGTCTCTCTCTCTCTCTCTCTCTCTCTCTCTCACCCCAACTGGTCGAGACAGACGACCAACCACCTAGAGCCGGAGGATCTGTCCTAGGTTTCTGCCTTTTAACAGGCAGTTTTTCCTTGCCCTTGTCCCCAAGTGCTTGCTCATAGTGGTACTGTTGGGTCTCTGTAATTAATGTTGAAGAGTTCGGTCTAGACCTGCTCTATTTGAAAAGTGTCCTGAGATAACTTCTGTTATGAATTGGCGCTATACAAATAAAATTGAATTGAATTGAATTGGACAATGTACACTCAAGTTATAGCAAATTCGTTTTTTGTGGCGGTACATCAAAATTTCCCGCCACGCCAAAGACACGCCCACTCACCGCAGTCATCACATATCATTAACAATGTGTTTTGCATTTTATAAGTAAATTTCAGCTGGATCTGATCATCCTGCTAGGAGTGGAACATGAAAGTATAAAACGTGATACTTCCTGTTGCCACTAGGTGGCGCTCTGACTATTACTGAATATTATCACATAGACGTGTTCAGGGCGGGACTCTTATCAAACATGTGAAGTTTCGTTGCAGTCGGATCATGTACGCAGAAGTTATTACGAATCCCTCTTTTTATGGCGAAGGATCGAAATTGCACGCCACGGAACGCCACGCCACATCCATGAAGTTTGACGGAATAACGTGAATAGCACAACTTTTAATAGTGAATGTGTTAAGATGGCTGTGTCAAAATCTGAAGTCGGTCCGATAAATGCCCTAGGAGGAGTTCGTTCAAATACAACGTGTGCAAATCGCCAAAAATGGCCACAAAATCCAAAATGGCCGACTTCCTGTTGGGTTTGAGGTATGGGTCCTTGAGACTTTTCTGCTTCTTTTATCATGATACACATGCGTAGCAATTTTCGTACATGTCAGCCTTACGGGTCTTGGGGGCTGATTCTGGGGGGTGTGGCTTAGCCGTTTGGCGGCGCCCGTGCACGGGGACAATGTCATAGCGGTATTTTCGCTACGTTTGAATTTTGTGTAAAATTTCATGACTTTCGAGCATGTTGCGGGGGCCAAATATGCGGTCAAACAGGCACCAAATAATAATTCAAACAGGAACAATAGGGTCTTGCACTTTCAGTGCTCGATCCCTAATAAACGAAGGAAAAACAATAGGGACCTTCCAGTTCATTAACTGGCTCGGTCCCTAATAATAATAATTCCTTGGATTACAATAGGGTCTTGCACTTTCAGTGCTCGATCCCTAATAATAAGAATAGGTAAGAAATCGAGCAAAAACAATAGGGACCTCCAGCGGTCGCTGGCTCGGTCCCTAATAATCTCAGTGATATTAGCAATGGCAGTCAAGTCACCATGGCAGGAGGCACCACCAGGATCCATGAGAACCTGCAAGACGAGAAAGCGCAAAAACCCACGGGAAAGAAGTAAAGTTAGTAACATGCATTAATGGGACGTGAATGAGTGCAGAAAGAGAGAGAGAGAGGAAGAGAGGAGCTCAGTGCACCATAGGAAATCCCCCGATAGTGTAGGCCTATAGCAGCATAACTAAGGGATGGTTAAGGACTCACCTGATCCAGTCCTAACTCTACGCTTTATCAAAGAAGAATGTCTTAAGCCTACTCTTGAATGTGGAGATGGTGTCTGCCTCCCGAACCACAACTGGAAGCTGGTTCCACAGGAGAGGAGCTTGGTAACTGAAGGCTCTGGCTCTACTTTTTGAGACTATAGGAACCACAAGTAGCCCTGCATTCAGAGAACGCAGTGTTCTAGTGGGGTAATAGGGTGCTATGAGCTCTCTAAAATATGAAGGGGCCTGACCATGAAGAGCTTTGTAGGTGAGGAGGAGGATTTTATATTCTATTCTTAATTTTACACAGAGCCAGTGCAGAAAAGCTAGTACAGGAGAGATGTGGTCTCTTTTCCTAGTTCCTGTCAGTATTCATGCTGCAGCGTTTTAAATTAATTGGCGCATCTCAATGGACTTATTGGGGCAGCCTGATAATAAAGAGTTTCAGTTATCCAGCCTAGAAGTAACAAATGCATGGATTAGTTTTTCTGCATCTGTCTGTGATAGGATGTGTCAAATTTTTGTAATATTACGTAAATGAAAGAAGGCAGTCCTGGAGGTTTGCTTTATGTGGGAATTAAGTGACATGTCCTGATCAAAGATAACTCCTGACAGTGGTGCTAGAGGCCAAGGTAATGCCATCTAGAGTAGCTATATCTTTAGACAGTGAGTCTCTAAGGTTTTTGGGCCAAGTACAAGAGTTTTTTTCTGAGTTTAACATCAGAAAATTGCAGCTCATCCAGGATTTTATGTCCTTAAGACATCTTTGTAATTTAGATAATTGATTAATTTCATCGGGCTTGATCGATGGATATAACTGCGTATCATCTGCATAGCAATGAAAGTTAATGGAGTGATTCCTAATAATGTTGCCTAAAGGGAGCATATATAAAGTAAATAATATTGGTCCAAGTACAGAACCTTGTGGAACTCCATGACTAACTGTAGTATTTATTGAAGATTCATCGTTAACGTGTACAAACTGAGAATGATCTGAGAAGTATGACTTAAACCAGCTTAGTGCGGTTCCTTTAATGCCAATTTGATGCTCAAGTCTCTCTAAAAGAATATTATGGTCAATGGTGTCAAATGCAGCACTAAGATCTAATAATACAAGCACAGAGACAAGTCCATTGTCTGAAGCAATCAAAAGGTCATTATTAACTTTAACCAGAGCTGTCTCTGTGCTGTGAACTCTAAATCCTGACTGAAAATCCTCAAATAAACTATTGCTATGTAGAAAGTCACACAACTGTTTGGCGACTACTTTCTCCATAATATTAGAGAGGAAGGGGAGTTTAGAAATTGGTCTATAGTTGGCTAAAACCCCTGGGTCAAGAGTGGGCTTTTTAAGAAGGGGTTTAATTACAGCTACTTTAAAGGACAGTGGTACATATCCTGATAAAAAAAGATTAATCATATCTAGTAAAGAAGTGCCAATTAAGGGTACGACTTCTTTAAGCAGCCTAGTTGGGATCGGGTCTAATAGACAGGTTGATGGCTTCGATGAAGAAATTAGTGAAGTTAACTGATTCAATTCAATTCAATTCAATTTTATTTGTATAGCGCCAATTCATAACAGAAGTTATCTCAGGACACTTTCAAATAGAGCAGGTCTAGACCAAACTCTTTGAAACATTAATTACAGAGACCCAAAAGTACCACCATGAGCACTGATGAAGATTGATAGCAGAAACACATTCTAAATAAATATCTGAGTTTACGTTAGTTAAAGTACCTAAACTTGCAGAGCCAGTGATACCTGTTGAGGGGATTTGGTGACTAATTTTCTCTCTAATAGTAATCATTATATTATAAAAGAAGCTCATGAAGTCATTGCTACTTAGGTTTATGGGGATATGTGGCTCATTAAAGCTGTGACTCTCTGTAAGCCTGGCTACAGTGCTGAAGAGGAACCTAGGGTTGTTCTTATTTTCTTCTATTAGTGCTGAATAATAGGCTCCTCTGGCATTACGGAGGGCCTTTCTGTAAGTTTTAAGATTATCTTGCCAAATTGAGCGATATTCTAATAATTTCGAAGAGCGCCATTTCCTTTTTGATTTCCTTGTTTTTTGCTTCAATTGGCAGGTTTGGTGGTTGTACCACGGTGCTAATCTCCTATGTTTTAATAATTTCCTTTTTATAGGAGCGATAGAGTCTAATGTTGATCGTAGTGAGCCTGCAGCACTATTAACAAGATTATCAATTTCGGAGGGACTAAGGTTATTACAGGACTCTGTTATATTCAGACATGGCATTGAATTAAACACACTGATGGAATCTCCTCCTTAAATTTAGCTACAGCACTGTCAGATAGATATCTGCTGTAGGAAGTTTTGCCTAATGGGTTATAATATAATAATAGAAATTCAAAAGTTATTAAATAATGGTCAAATAGAAAAGGATTTTGTGGGAAGACTATTAAATGTTCAATATCAATGCCATATGATAGAACAAGGTCAAGAGTGTGATTAAAACAATGAGCCTGTTTATTTACACTCTGGCAGAAGCCAGTTGAGTCTATTAATGATATAAATGCATTACTAAGGCTGTCATTTTCAACATCAACATGGATATTAAAATTACCTACAATAATTACTTTATCTGATTTAAGGACTCAACTTGATAAAAACTCTGAGAATTCAGATATAAAATCAGAGTACGGGCCAGTACACTATAACAAATAGAACTGGCTGCAGTGTTTTCCAGGATGGGTGAGAAAGACTAAGAACAAGGCTTTCAAATGAATTATAATTTAGTTTCGGTTTAGTGTCCATTAAAATGCTCAAATCATATATGGCTGCTACTCCCCCTCCTCGGCCGGTGCCTCAAGGAATGTGAGTATTAATATGACTAGGCTAACATACTCCTCTTTGGACAGCCAGGTCTCAGTCAGACAAAGTAAATCAATATTATAATCTGATATTAATTAATTAACTAAAACAGCTCTAGAGGACAGAGACCTGATATTTAACAGTCCACATTTCATTCTTTTATTTTGTGCTACTGAGGTGTTGGTTTTAATTTTTGTTAGGTTTTTATGTTTAACTCCTCTTGTTTGTATTTCTTTAAATAATTTAGGTGGTCGGGGGACAGCCAGTGATCTCCTTATTTCCCTTATTCCCTCCAATCAGGAGAAGCTCTTTAACCTCTCCAGTGTTACATCATGATATGAAGAACAGAATTGCCATTGCGCATCCCACCAACTGTAAAAAAAAACAAAACACACACACACTCACACATACACATAGGCTATAGACAGGCGAAAAGCAGTTGGTCAATCTCTAAATGAAAGTGGTGGCAAAACCAAACGTTTTAATAAGAACATTTTTTTAGTTGTCTTGGCATAGCTCACAGTATATTATGATACTATTTATGTATTTATACAATCGTGAAAAAATTAGGACATACTATGAAAACGTGTATTTTTTAACATTACTTAGACATGGATATTTAATATTTTAACAATACTGAGAGATTCAAGTAATATAACTAAACAAGTAAAACTGAAGAAAAAACTTTTTTAGAACTTTCTGTGAAATGTAATAAAATAAACATGCAATTTCTGGTGAGGAATAAATTAGGACACCCCAACATTTTTTCCCACTTAAAATGGCTGAAATCACACACAGGTATATCACATCAGGTGCACATGATTAGAACATTGTTACTCAGCATTTTGAAGGAGGCTTGCCCTATTTTAACCTCAGACATTCAGTTTGGTGTGCAGTCCGACTGTTGACGTGAGAGTGAACACCATGGTGAGATCGAAAGACCTGTTTGAGGCCTTCAGAAAGAAGATTGTTGCACCTTATGAGTCTGGTAAGGGATTTACAAAGATCTCAGCCATTCCACATTGAAATCAGCCATTCCACTGTCCGGAAAATAGTGTACAAGTGGAGGACATTCAAAACAACTGCCAACATGCCCAAGTCTTGCCGTCCAAGCAAGTTCACCCTGAGAGATGCTAAAAGTAGTCTTCAAAAACCCTAAAATGTCATCAAGGGACCTACAGCAGGCTCTGGCGACTGTTGATGTGAAAGTGCATGCCTCTACAATCAGAAAGAGACTGCACAAGTTTAATTTTCATGGGAGGTGTGCAAGTACGAAACCTTTACTCTCCAAGAGAAACATAAAGGCCAGACTGAAGTTTGCCAGAGAGAATGTAGACAAAGAACAGCACTTCTGGAATAATGTTCTTTGGACAGATGAGTCTAAAATTTAATTATTTGGGCGGGGCTGTGGCTCAGAGGTAGAGCGGGTTGTTTCCTAATCGGAAGGTTGTGGGTTCGATCCCCGGCTCCTGGTGCCACATGTTGAGGTATCCTTGAGCAATATACTGAACCCTAAATTTCTCCCGATGCCATGCATCGGTGTGTGAATGTGTATGAATGTTAGTTTCTGTTCGATGGACATTTGCTAGCTGTGTGAATGTGTGTGTACACTACGTACCACATTCACGTAGTGTAAAAGTGCTTTGAGTGGTCGGTAGACTAGAAAGGCGCTATACAAGTACAGGTCCATTTACCATTTGGACACCACAACAGAGGAGGACATGTTTGGCGCACACCAAATACAGCGTTCCAGGAAAAGAACTGTGAAGCATGGAGGTGGAAGTGTCATGGTTTGGGGATGCTTTGCTCACCAGCTCACCATCCTAGAATCCATCATGAATTCTACAGTGTATCAGACGGTGCTTGAGCAACATGTGAGACCATCTGTAAATTAAATCTGAAGCGGAACTGGACCCTGCAACATGACAATGACCCTAAACATACCAGTAAATCCACCAAGGACTGGCTGAAAACTAAGAAATGGAGAGTCCTGGAATGGCCCAGTCAAAGCCCATATCTTAATCCCATGAGATGCTGTGGGGTGACTTGAAACGGGCTGTACATGCAAGAAACCCCTCAAACATCACACAGGTTAAAGCATTCTGTATTGAGGAGTGGGGCAAACTTTCCTCAGACCGATGTCAGAGACTGGTAGAGGGTTACAAGAAGCGTCTCACTGAAGTAATTTCAGCCAAAGGGGGTAACGCTAAGTATTAGGGGGTAGGGTGTCCCAACTTTTTCCTCAGTTAGAATATGCATTTATGTTGATGTCTTTTGTTTAATGAGTAAAACGATTTTATTTTTTGCTGTTTACCTGCATTAGATCACTTTCTTTTCCAGAGATAAATAAAAACAAGATTAGACATCAATATGTGAACATGAATAACTGAATATTTAATGGGGTGTCCTAATTTTTTCACGACTGTATATTCAGCATAGTTCCCATGGAGCATTGACCGTTGATATTTCATCTGCAGGACAACTACATGTGATACCGGGCAAAAGCCGACATATGCCAGCTAGTGTAAACCCTAGCTGGAGCAGATAAATACTTGTGGCCACTGCAGAGACATTTGTCCCTATGTGGTTGTTGCCATGTTTGCTTTAAACGTTGATGTCATGATATTTGTCTGTTTATTTTGTGTATCTCTGTTTCATGTTGACACTGCTTTAAAGGCAGAGGCCGGGTTGACCCTGCTTCCAAAGATTGAAACCTCCCTTTAGCTGAACAGTTACAACTTTGCACTGCAGAGATCGCTTTTCTAATCACACCCCTCTTCTCTCCTTCCTCTTGTATCTGCCAGAGTAAGGCTGTGTTATGTCCCATGTCAGGACGACCCATTAAGATGAACGAGCTTATTACAGTGCGCTTCACCCCACTGGACTCAAGCCTGGACCGAGTGGCCCTGCTCACCCGCCAGGTCAGTTTACATCAGCACCATCAGGCAACGTGGTCAGCTGAAATCTTACCTCATGCACTTACTAGCTTGATAGTTGTGTGCATCTTTGTTTAAAAAAACCACAACAAATCCTCTGTACTAACTCGGTAAATAACGTTATTGCTAACAACAACATAATTAAACATGATTTATGAAGCTCGTCCAATAAGTTTGCGCCTTAACCAAACAGACAGTTACTAGATGTCACATCACAGGCAATGACATCATGCTCAAATCTTGTTCGGTGTTATAAGTAGATGTATTTCCCCTACACTACTGGTACAATCCTGTCTTTTCCCTTCAGGACCGGTATGTATGTGCAGTAACCAGAGACGTCCTGGGCAACAGTGTCCCGTGCGCTGTTCTGCGACCCTCGTGAGTTCCAACATATCTACCTTCACTCAAACATTTCAGATGTTAGGTGTTCTCTGGACTCTCAAGGGTTAACTGATACACTCTCTGTCCTGTCCTTAGGGGTACTGTGGTAACTCAGGAGTGTGTGGAGAAGTTGATCAAGAAGGACATGATTGATCCTGTGACTGGAGACAAACTGTCTGACAAAGACATTGTACCACTGCAGAGGGTATGTGTGTACTTCTGTGTAGAGGTTGGCTAAAATCACCTTTCTTTGGATTTGCATTTACTTATCTCCTGGGTAAGAACATAAGGTGCTTTTAGACAGCGTGTCCATTGTTTCTGATGTTGACACGATGGCAGTCAGCGGGCTGCTACCGTCCAGTGTGTAGGATTTAGTGGTGTAGACCTTCCAAGCATGAAGGAGAAACTACGGTGGCCACAAAACTCATTAAAAAAAACATGAAAGGCCCTCTCTAGAGCCAGTCCTTGGTTTGTCCATTCTGGGCTACTGTAGAAACATGCTGCACTGCAAGTAGAAGCTCTTTATTCGAAACCATATAAAGGAAAAGTATGTAAGTATTTTAGCAAAATGTATTTAAAGTCAATCAAAAGTACAAGTAGTCATTGTACAGTAAAATTCAGTGTTGCACTATATCTGATGTTTTTGAATTAATATTTCTGCTGCATTTATGTGTATTTTGCATTTTACTGCTGTAGATGTTTATGGTTGAGCTATTAGACTCTCCATTTTGTTTGGAGCCACAATTGCATAAATTAGCATTTATCCCTGATATTATTTACTTACTGGACCTATTAGACAGTCCCCAGTGGTAGACACAGTAATGGCTCACTGTCTGAGAGCCCATGTAGCTTTTAGTCATAATGCAGGAACATGTTTTTTTTGTACTAAGTTGTGAACACAACAGTGTTACAGTGGTGCTGATAGTCTTTCGTGTTCTGACAGGGTGGAACCGGCTTTGCTGCCTCTGGGGTTGACCTCCGTGCCAAAGAGGCTCGTCCAGTGATGCAAGTGTGAGAATATGGGGTCTTAACGGCGTTGTCACCATGACTGTATGTACAGTACATCCTAACTTTAGTTCTATGATATACAGTATGTTTATAACGGTGTATGAACAACTTTCACCTGTTTTGATGACCTTTTGGAGGTAACTAGCAATTAGTTGGGTTTCTTTTTTAGTCCCTCCATAGATATTTTGTCATTCATGTAAAATACAGTTTTATCCTGAATAACATTTTTATATTTAAAAGATTGTCTGTCAATGTATGAAGAGTATTTGCAGCCAGTGATAATAAAGCATTTCCAAATCCTACACCCTGATTGAGTGTGTGAGTGAGTGAGTGAGTGAGTGTGTGTGTGTGTGTGTGTGTGTGTGTGTGTGTGTGTGTGTGTGTGTGTGTGTGTGTGTGTGTGTGTGTGTGTGTGTGTGTGTGTGTGAGAGAGAGAGTGAGTGAGTGTGTGTGTGTGTGAGAGAGTGAGTGTGTGTGTGTGTGAGAGAGTGAGTGAGTGTGAGAGAGTGAGTGTGTGTGTGAACTTTAACTGCATTGAATGCAGTGATGTCACATAATTTTTGACAACAGTAAAGTAGAAATGATGTCAGATGTTAAGAGAGACAAAGTCGTTTACATAACACATGGAAACCAATGGCTTGCTGTTTTTATTAAATGGAAGAAGAAGAAGAAGAAGAAGAAGAAGCATCTCTGAAAATGCACCTTGGAAGTCCTCATCAGGTTTGCAGTGCTGCTTTTGAATCAGAGCTGCTCTAGTTGGCCAGTTCATTATTGACTGATCTGCTAAAGTAGACATATACAGTGCTGCTCAAAAGTTTGTGAACCATGGACCAATGGAGCTTAGATCTTTTAGATGAATTTATAGCCTCCAGACAAATGTGCTGGGTATTCTTCCCGAGGTTCTCTGAGATTTACTTCCCTGACGACTAGGGTTGCACGATATGGTAAAAACATCATATTGTGATTCATTTGACAGATAGTGTTGTAATATGATTCACAATTTCATTCATTATTGTGGAAATTAAATTCCCTGAAACAACAATTAAAATCATGCTGATGCAACAATGTTTGAGTTCTGTACCAAACAATCATGTTTTCTTACATCTGGAAAACAATTTGTAGGAAATGCCCTGAATTTTCAATTCAATGTAAAATAATTTACAGAGACCCAACAGAGACCCAACAGTTCCCACCTCTGCAGCACTACATACTTCATTACAATCCTGTTTGTCACACATTTTACCTTGAACAAAAATTGCACTTTCTGTGATTTGCATATTGCACTTGGCCATATTGTGATTTTGATAATATTGTGATTAATTGTGCGGTGATAGTTTCTTGTTTCTTCCCCATTTCATAGGTGGCACAAAATTGTTGACTAAATTAACCAAAGTTTATTCACCTGCTTCTTTTAAGTGATACAGCTCAAGTGTTCACAAATTTTACCCCTACAAAAGTATACAAAAAATATACTCCTATAGTATATGGATTTGATAAACATACACCTGTTATTTCATATAGAAAAATATTGTTTCTGATTAAATAAAGAAATAATGGTAAAACAATATATGTAAAAGCTCACATTTTCAAGCAGCAAGTATGAAGACATAATTCATCCTGTTCTGTAGTCAGCTTTTCAGAGCTCATCATGGCTGTCCACCTTCATGCCTCCATAGTCAGTGATGGTGCTGATTTTAATGTAGTCCATCTTGTCAAGTAGCTCAGAGAGTGTCAGACGGCCATCCTGACATGACAAGAGATATATGTATATACACTGGAGATCAAAATTGAAAAACCATTTAGGAATACTTGATTTTTTCAGAAATAATTTAAACTTCATTGCTCAACATTTGAAGGAATTTTCGTTGTGGCTATACAATGCTACTAGAACAGTGTTGTACAAAATAACCAAGGCACTTCAACAAAAAAAACTTTATTTAGCAGAAAACAAAAATTTTCTGCTAAATAATTTTTTTTTAAATTAGAGAACAGCAATGACTGTAGCACGGAGAAATATTACAACAACATTTTCTGTCAACAGTTAGAAGGAAGTGTACACTAAAGTGAACTTTGGACTGGTTCTCCTCTGTCCACACAACATGCTCCTCAGCAAAGGTTAGTCTAGCCTTTTGATTCTTTCTGCTAATGAGAGGTTTGGTCACTGCAGAGTGGGCTTTCAGTCCAAATGCTCTTAAACGTCAAGACACTGTTTGACAAGACAGATCCTTGCCCTGAACAGTGCTGAACTGGTGAGCAAATCCAGCTGCAGTGTTGAACCAAGTGCCCACTGAGATTCTATGAATTATCATGTGCTCTCTTGTTTTTGTCTTTAGTGGATGACCAGCCTTCTTGGGGGACTTGAATGATTTTGTGACATTGTAAAGATGCAATATTCTAGAAATTGTTTGGAATGACCAACTTCTCTTGCTTTGGCTGATAGGGTCATCCCTTCTGCCTTCATCTGGACAACCTGCTGCCGAAGGGTTTCAGTCACTTAAAACAGCTAACCATCCTGCAAAGTCAGTGAAAACTGGAAAGTTAGGCTGCAAGTTGAATAAGGTTTGTCAGATAATTAAGGGAATTAGCACCAGGTGCCAGATTAACACCAATAACTGGGAGGTATCTGAAAGTGTTCTCTAATTTTGATCAGTATTCCTTTTCAAATATAACATTTACGTTTTTTAAACTGTGCTTCAGAACATATGTAACTCATGAAATATGCTTAAAATACAGCTCTTTTACTCCTGTTTAGATCATTTTAATAGGACTACGCAGTGACCTTGACATTAATTTTGATCTCCAGTTTATATATAATAAATATGGAAATAAATTACACTTTGTACATATGGCTTTAATTGCACATGTCAATAAATGGTTAGAGGCCAGGGGGGGAAAATACATTGTGATTTTTTCAGTGCAGCCACATAGAGAAGAAGAAGAAGAAGAAAATTTCAAGGCCCCAGTGTCTGACAAACAGACGCCTCACAGGTCCTCAACTGGCAGCTTCATTAAATGGTACCTGCAAAACACCAGTCTCGACATCAACAGAAAAGAGGCAACTCCAGGATGCCAGAGTCGCAAAGAAAAACGTGTATCTGAGACGGGCCAATAAAAGGAAAGGATTAAGATGGGCAAAAGAACACAGACATTGGACAGACAAGTATTGGAAAAATGTGTTATGGACAGACGAATCAAAGTTTGAGGTGTTTGGATCACACAAATGAAAAGATGCTGGAGAAGTGCTTGATGGCATCTGTCAAGCATGGTGAAGTAATTGTGATGGTCTGGGGATGCTTTGGTGCTGGTAAAGTTGGAGATTTGTACAAGGTAAAAGGGATCCTGAATAAGGAGGGCTATCACCCTATTTTGCAACGCCATGCCATTCCCTCTGGACTGTGCTTGATTGGAGCCGATTCCTACAACAGGACAATGACCCAAAGCACAGTTCCAAACTGCAGTCACCAGATCTCAACCCTGTTGAGCTATTGTGGGAGCAGCTTGGCCGTATGGTACGTAATAAGTGCCCATCAAGCCAATCAAACTTGTGGGAAGTGCTTAAGGAAGCGTTGGATGAGATTTCTCCAGATTTCCTCAACAAATTGTCAGCGAGAATGCCAAAGGTCTGCATGGCTGTAATTGCTGCAAATGGAGGATTCTTTGATGAGAGCAAAGTTATTTTATAAGGACAAAATTATTATTTCAAGCAAAAATCATTATTTCTACCCTTGTCAATGTCTTTACTATATTTTCGATTCATTTTGTAACTATTTTCATGAAAAACATGACATTTTCATCATATAATTAAAATCCTTAAAAAGACATTTTAAAGAATCCTATGAATAGTTATAATAATAATAATAGTTTCAATAGTATGAAAGTTATCTCAGGAAACTTTTCAAATAGAGCAGGTCTAGACCAAACTCCTTATAGCATTATTTACAGAGACCCAACAGTACCACCACGAGCAAGCACTTTAAGTGGCAGAAACCTCGGACAGACCCCGGCTCTAGGTGGGTGGTTGTCTGCCTCGACCAGTTGGGGTGAGACGGAGAGAGAGAGAGAGCAGAGGTAACGACAGAAGGATGGAGACAGAGACAAAGGTGCACAGCAACAACAGTAGGTAGCAACAACTACACTAATAGTAGTGACTGATGATGATGAACATGAAGAAGATGACGACAACCATGTCTCCTACTTCACTGTAAAGTCCATTCTCAGTGTACGTGCACTGGTCGTTTCAAGTTTCTATATCACACTGTAGAAGTTGCCTCCTGGACCAGGTTAATGTCCACTCTTACTTGCGTGTTCCAGAAAGTTTGCAAATGGACCGTGACAATTTAGCCACCTCTGACTTTTGATTAAGACCCTGTAATTGCTTATGTTGAAATAGTTTTGTCAATATTCCAGCTGATTAATTATAACATAAACAGATTTTAATTAAATATGCTACCATTGTCCTAACTTGAGAGAAGACTTCGGTGACCGAATGGTTGCTTGTAGTGACAGCAGCTGTTGAAACACCAACAGAATAAGTACCTGTCCCTTTCATTTTACTTTCATAAATTCTAAATACACATTCATCTATGTTTAATATCTTTGCTTAACATTTCCACAAGTTAACCTCACCTCTCAAAACGTTCTGATAATGTGGGAAATAAACCATATTCACCTGTATAACTGTTTCAAAAAAACTTCAAGAAAGGTGAATACTTCTTAAGTCGTCCGGGCAAAGCATCCCCAGACCATCACACTACCGCCACAATGTTTGACTGTTGGTATGATGTTCTTTTTATGAAATGCTGCGTTTTACGCCAGATGTAACAGGATGCACACCTTCCAAAACGTTCAACTTTTGTCTTGTCAGTACACAATATTTTCCCAAAAGTCTTGGGGATCATCGAGATATTTTTGTGAGACGAGTCTTTGTGTTCTTTTTGGTCAGCAGTGGTTTTCGCCTTGGAACTCTCCCATGGATGCCATTTTTGCCCAGTCTCTTTCTTATTGTTGAATCATGAACATTGACCTTAACTGAGGCAAGTGAGACAAACTTTATTTAATAATCAAACCCCAAAAAGTCAGTAACACAGCACTTTAGTCTCCGATTCACCCCTTTCCCCTCTTCCAATTGTGCATTTCATCACTTTTTGACAGCAAATTCACATTCCATTCTGACATATATAGTCCATATATATATGTCCATCTCCAACAAACTATGTGTCCCCAATGTTGGCTGTTTTTATTATCTAAGAACAATTACACCCCATGTGCAGAGACCACTTTCCTACCTCTTAGGTTCATAGAAAAAGAGCATTGTTTCAGCTGGATGCCAGTGCATGTTGGACATCTCCACACTGCTGTTACTTTGTCATTTTGATATTTTGGAGATACAGTTTTCACTGTACAACAGCAATATGCTATCTACGATGATAGCATCTCAGTTAAAAATCAAATATGTATGTCAATAAAACAAAGACGGCAAAGGATCATCAGTATCATCTGTATTCACATACACAGTATATGAGTACACGCTGTATTTGAATGAGTGTGTCTGTGTGGATGTGGACGTGCAGGGTCCATGATAGTCAGAACCTTTCACTGACTTTACTTTCTGTCCGACCCCAAACCCCAAAACCCCTGTAACCAAATTCTCCACAGTAGTGAAATATAAACCCAAATGAGCTTCTGGCAGCTCATCAAAGTTCATCATGTCTCTTCGTTAAATCTTCCCCGTAATTGGTCGCCTGGCTGCCCACAAACATGTTCCAGTTGGCCAGAATCTCCTTCTTGGTTATTTTCTCGTCCTGTTGTTGGATCAGCAGATTCCATCCAACATTGGTTTATGATTGAAAGAAAGAAAAGGGAGGAGAAGGAGAAGGAGGAAGGGGAGGAGGAGGAGGAGGAGATCATAGGGTGATGAAAAACAGGCACACAGAAAGAAACAGATAGACGCTTGTTAATAATGAACCCACAATTATGGCAATTATTTCCACTATGTTAACAAATATAATTGACAGAAAAGAGATGGGCTGTCTGCCTATCTTTAGGTTGTGGACAAAACAAGACATTTGACGTCACCTTGGGCTTTGGGGAAACACATTTTTTTTTTACCATTTTCTGACCTTTTCAGGACCAAACAACTAACTGATTAAAGCTGCAGTAGGTAACTTTTGTAAAAATAAAATCACTATATTCTTACAGTAGTACATGGGACAGATAATAATAAATTAAAAAAATCAGGGTCCCCTGGCTCGTTCTAGTGCTCTTAGTGGTATTTGCAAGAATTCACTGGGCTTGGACAAAAACAACAAATCAAAGCCAAGATGCCTACTGCAGCTTCAATTGAGAAATGTATTGTTGTGGTATCACTCAGGCTGCAATACGATAAAAACATATTGTGATTATTTTGACAAATATGACTCACGATTAGTATGTTTTTATGTATGTATTAGTAGTTAGGGAATGATAATTGTGCATTACAAATAACATTTTCACTGAAATAAGCAAAAATCATGATGATTTTTTCTGTGGCCTGGACCAAAGATGTTCTCACATCTGGAGAACACGATTTGTAGGCCAGGACATCTCTGCAGAACTACAGTACTTCATTGTAACATTCTACCGTCTTCAAAATATTGCAGCTTCTACAATTTGGATATTGCACTTTGTCATATTGTGATTTTCACCCCAAGGAACAGTACAATACTGATCATATTTAATAGTTGTTGGATAACTATGTCACAGAGGAATAATAGATACATAGACAATAACTGTTAGTAGGATCCACTCATTGTTGGGTTGGTTCTGCATATAGGATTTGACAATAAGAAATCTTTAGAATATAACCAGCCTTATCCTTTAAGTTTATATCATATTATATATATAGATATATATATCTATATATATATATCAAAGCCCAGCTTTTATTTGCTTGCACTGAACTCATTCTGCCTATATTTGGAACATGCCTCTATACAGGACAGGCTCTTAATTTCTTTTGCACAAGACTCTTGCTCTGCAAAGATGAAAAATACTATCAAACTGTTTTTCAATATTATTTCAACCAGTATGAATATTAATGTATAGTATAAAATTTAATTTCCTACAAATGTGTAGCATGTCCATATTTACAAAAGTTTACAAAAGACTCCATCAAGCCTCAACTTGGTGGGTTTTAAGAGATTTTATACATCCAAAGAATTTATGTAAAATCATTCAGACCAGGCCTCTAATTGAGACCTGCGTTTATTTTTTAAAACGTTTAATTCAAGTCAATTTTCAATATTAATTGTGAAGCAAATTTGGAAAGGAGACTTGCTTCTAAATTTTACTCTAACTTGCTACCTTCCAGGAAATTCTTAAAGAGCCAGGGTGTAGGATTTAGCCTCATTTAGCAGTGAAGATGCAGAAGTGTGTATACAAAATATGCAAAAGGCCCCGCCAGTGTTTGGTTTGTCCATTCTGGGCTACTGTACAAATAATCGCGGCCCAACATGATTAACAGCTCTAACCCTAACCCTAACCCTAGCTCTTCTAGGGTTACAAACCCACAAAAATTCTTATTTCAAGCCATAATGTTGCACACTCGACCTTTAATAAATAAGGTTTAGTGAAAATCCAGCAAAAACTTCTGGTATTGAAAATGGTTAATATGGTAGTGTGGTTCAGTTTCTGTGATGTCAGAGAGTTTGAGCAGTGCCAGGTCTACCTTGTCGGTGTCTGTCTCGTGGATCAAGTGTTTGGCTTCATTATCAGCATGGTCTACCTCTCCCGGCAAAATCCAGTGGGCCACCTCACTACCATCCAGGAAGCCGTCCTGTATAACACACAGATGCATAACTGAGGAAGTGACGCTGTAAGATGTAAAAATAGATCCCATCAACATGTGAGAGCAGAAGAAACGTAAAGCTTGAAAGCTGAGGAAGAACCAACTGTTCAAATAACTTTTGCCTATTGTAGCACTCTGCTGTTGACCAACCTGCTGTTGGTCATTACATGTTCTACCCAAGCAGCAAACCCTGTGGTTGGCAAATTATGCAACACTGAAGTAACAAGAAGCAAAAAAACGCCTAAGCCAGCAGAGTCACGACTGCCTGTGGTCATCGAACTCTACAACGCCTCCCTCAGAGAGTCAGACACCCCCTCTCTGTAATCTGACCTCAAACACAGACAATCGGAAACTGCACAAGGTCACTGTACATATGGTCACTTACACATGGACATCTTACACATGGTCACTTTACACTTGCCATTTTGCATATTTTATTCTGTACGTTCATCAAAACATTTTCCATTGTTTTCACATTAGCCAAACTTTAATCAGTTTTGGTTACTTTCTTAACAAAGCAACATGGGATTGTTTCAGTCTCTGGTTAAAGGGAAAGTTGGACATGTGGAGACACCATAACTAGTAACTGTGTGGCAATTTACAACATCCAAGCGGGAATGAACACATATGCAACAAACTGAGAACTATAACGGTTTAAGCTCTCCAACTGTGAATAGCTGAGCAGCTTTTACCTTGTTGGCATCTCTGATCTCTGAGAAATGTTTCCTCTCTGTCTGGACCCATTCAGGCTCACTCTCCCCATTCTCTGGTGTGTACATATCACCTGTGGAGCAGCAGCACACATACATTTAGGACAGAACGCTTCCAGGATAGGGGGTAGTTGGTCAGAGAGAAAATGGAAGTGACGTACCAATGTATTCATCTAAGTTGATCTTGCCATCCCCATTCTTATCAATGTCTTCCACAGTCTCCTAAATGATAAAATTATAGAATTAGTTCTTATAATGGTCCATTCCTGCTAATGTCACTGTATTGATAAAGTAATTTTCTCCAAATGTACAATTTCACTGTAACAGCTGTCAGACTAGAAGCATTATGGGCAAGATACTGTGCATCTTAAATATTTTAATGCAGCATACACTGATTTTACCCGAAAAATGAGCCAAGGTACTGAACTTTCCCAGTGGTCGTAGGATAGAAAAAAATTTATAAAAATGATGATTAATCCTTGCAAACGGATAAAAACATGCAAACATGTATTTATGCTTGTAAATCATTAGACATGGAGCAAAGCACACATTTGCATTTTATTTAGATGTGGCAATAGATGCCTTGATGCCTTAAAAAGCAATATAGCCAGTCTCGCTTCTGTCATCAACCTGTTTTTTTGTTTGCCAACGGCATGGTCATAATATCAATTTTATCTGCAGCTCAGAAGCTTAATTATGACAACTCTGAGCTGCGATCCAATTTTCTATTTGTTCAGTTATCTAACAACAGAAACAAATATGTGTGAAAAAATTTTTCATGAATTCAGCTACAAAACAGCTAGTTGCAGGGTTTGCCAATCTATGTGGATCCTCAAATGTCTTGTTTGCTGTCATAGAGCACTAAAGAAATCTTCTCAATTTAAAAAAAAATAAATAAATAAATAAAATTATTCTTAAAAAATGACTCAAAATGTTGAATAAATGTTTTTTAATTGTTGTCATGTCATTTAATAGTTGACAACTAATAGATAACTTGACTAATCATTGCCAATTTGGTGGAAATCCATCCAGTAGATGCTGAGATACTCCAAACTGTTGGACTGACATTGCAGAGCTAGCATGGCTTGCACAGCTGGAAATACTTATCAAAGTTTCAGGTGTTTAGAGAGTAGTTTGTACCTGGACTACCACATCCTTCATGTAATCAAACTCCTCAGGGTGAAGAAAGGCAGTGAACTCCTCACGTGTGGCAATACCATCACCATCTCGGTCAGCTGTCTTAAAGCGCCTTTCGTCCCGGGTGAGCATGGACTTATAGGTGGCCTTGTCTTCAATGTCATCAAATTCCTGATCTGAAACAAAAGGAAGAATTCTAGAATTCCATATAGATGTTATTTCCTAAATTATTTCTGGTTAAGAATAATATATATATATACATATATATACAACAAGTCTTACATATATATATATATATATACACCAAGTTAGAATGGAGGTGCATCTATCACACACAGTGAATTACCCAGATAGTAGCCGTAAGTGGTGTTTTTGTACTCCTCCCAGCCTATCTTGCCATCTTGGTTCTTGTCGTAGTCGTTCCAATGTTTGTTCACGTTCTCCTTAATATACCTCCTCTGCCGGTGCTTAATCCAATAGTGCAGTTCTGCATGGCTGACGTAGCCATCCTTGTCGGTATCAATGCGGTCCACAATCTTCCTATGGGGAGAGATAGGATCGGAGATATGGATAAGAAAGGAGCGGGGGGTCGAACCGCCAACCTTCTGGTTAGCGGTACCTCTGAGCCACAGCTGAAATCATCTGCTCCCTCCCTGCTTTTGGAGGTGGAACCTCCAATTCTGACCTACACACACACGGCAATAATGTCTGCAGTCCAAAATTAAACACACCTGATGAATAAATTAAAACACATAAATAGAAACTTTGAAATATTAGAAACAGCGATTTCTCATGACTGTTAAGGCAGTTTGTGGCAGCAGTGTACAGTTTAGCAAGAGTGTACTCAGGATCTGCAAAACCTACGCTAGTTTGTCTTTGCTCTCTTCAGGAGTCAGCTGGTCAAAGGTCTTGGCCTCCTCCTTGCCCAGGAAGGCCTCATGGTCATACTGGAAGCCATGAGCATCATTGTGTGCATGATCACTCAGATCAGCTTGGTGATGGATGCGCTTCTCCTGAGCAGGTACGGCGAAAACAAGGCCAGCCAGGATGCAGAAGGATGCCAGTGACAGCAGCATCATCATATATGACTGGTGGAGAAATAATGGGAGAAGGAGAAAAAACTAAGAAAACAGAAGAGAGCACGGTGGGGTGGCACAGAGACACAAAAAATACAAACTGCTCCGTACATAACAGAATATAACATAGTATGTATGTACAACAGTAGAAAAGAATAGACTGGTAATGTCCACCAAAGTGAAAATTTGCTCAAAAAAACATATAAGCAGTATAAAAACATTCAACACAAAACAAAAAACCATAAATAAAATACTGTAGATCAGGATTCACAGCTCAGATTTTCTTGAACAATGCTGATTGAATGCATCAATCTTTTTTTCTCCAAACATTTCAGACTGCAGGCCAAAGTGATATGTGACTCAGATCGGATTTTTTCCATGATAGTGTGAACAGCACAAATGACATGGAATCTGATCTTTTCTGATTCAGGCCACTTTCATATGTTGTCCAAAACAGATACAGGTATCATTTATTGCAATGTGACCTCAGTGTGATTAGTCATCTCAGAATTTGTGTGACTTTTATGTCACTCTACACTGACATTCATCATGCAGGTCACTTCAGGACCGTGACCTGTTCACACTGGATACGGGCCCCATTTGGGCTTGCAGTGTAAATATAACTTAATACTTGACTTGCCTCTCTTTTTTTTAGTTTATATCAGTTAGTAAATGTTCATGTAATAATGTCATCTTATTCATCTGTATCAATGAATCTGGTCCTGCCCTCCTGTCATTTTGCAAAATTGGACCTAGGGCGAAGCAGCAGAGCTTACAGCGCAGAGCTTACACCTCCGAAACTCACTGTCTTAAGATATAGTTGATGGTATTACCTTGGCCTCCAGCACCACTGTCAGGAATCTTGGAGTTATCTTTGATCAGGATATGTCCTTTAACTCCCACATAAAGCACACCTCTAGGACTGCTCTTTTTCACTTGCGTAATATTGCAAAAATTTCAGATCAGATCCAGAAAAACTAGTTCATGCATTTGTTACTTCTAGGCTGGATTACTACAACTCCTTATTGCACTGGTGGCATTTTAATGCATGTGACAATAAATTCCTTATTATCCTTAAATGTATAGTTTCCAATAATAAATTAGTAATAATGTAATATTTACATGGGGTTAGTGGAGGTCTTCTTCAGAAATTTCCATTATTCCTGTAATCAACATTAATTAAGTTCTTCTCAGAAATCCTCCCATAGAATTATTAATAGAGCATTACCAAAACAAATCCTCTAAATTGGGTACTTTTGAAATCGACTGTACATTATTTGTCACAGATTACAAAGACACTTAGATTAAAAACTATGTATTAGATATTATTAATAATAAATAATTATGTATTATATATTAATTCTTTTTTATCAAACTATTGTTCCCATGGTGAAAAAAGGAGCTTTCCTGCTCAAGAAATAACAACTCTCCTCAGTTACTCAAAACTGCATTTTATTTTATTACAGTACATGGACAGAATGTTTTGTCGACAATAACAGCATAATAGAGCCATCTAAAATAATCACATCATCAATCATCTATCTCAGATCACAAGTGCAAATAGTTAATGTAAAAGATGTTAAAGGTCATCATGGATACTGACAAATACTGACTGCATCAATAAACCTGGTCCTACCCTCCTGTCATTTTGCAAAAGTGGCCCTGGGGCAAAGCGGCAGAGCTTACAGCACCTCCAAGAGGTCAGAGTCTCAAACTGAGGGAATCAAGACTGAGGAGTGTCTTCTGGTATCTCTCCTCCTGACAGTGAACCGGTCACACAGATGTATCTGGGGTTCATTCTGCTGGCCATGCCAACTATTCAAACCAGCTTCTTCGTAAGCCTGCAGTTCAGGTGATCGATCAGGCAGCACTCTCTTATTCACTTCACTATCTGAAGGTGTCGAGGAAATGAAAGTTGTGCATTTCTTTAGTACATGTTAACATGTTTGGTTTCATTGACACAGAGCAGTCAGAACTGTACCAAGACATCTGAAACTTCCTTCAACTTCAACACGTACAGCAGACCTTGTTATGAAATCCTACTTGGCAGAAATAATAATTTATTTTATCTTACCCATCATCTCATCATTAATCTGCTCATTTTCCACCTATGCACATATTCTGTTTGCCATGGAAGGCCAACAACGACCACTGTACACAGCGTACACAGATCCACACACTAGCAGAATAGTACAGAAGCAATGCACATCCCTGGACTTACTAAGAAAGTCAGACATTATTCCACTGACGGTGACTTTCTGTAGTTGACAGAAAGGAAATCTTTTATCCACAGAATCAAGTCACCAGTAACCCCAAGAATACTGTAAAATAATTTCTTGTCCCAAACCCAGCTAGGGACATCAACCCCATCATTAAACACACATTCATACTTTTCCTTTATGCTGCAGGAAGACCATCATATGCACTGTATCTGTGAAAGCTTTGGTGTAAGCCAGTGTTCTCAACTATCATTTTTTACTTTTAAGAAGCAAGAGAAAAATTACTCACCATTTTCTTAGCAGGTTCTCGCGACACCTCCCTTCGTAGTGTATGAACAGCAGTCCGCGTTGGCACTGTGTACCTTTAAATAACAACGTCAGGGAGGCGGTCCTTGTTCTTCTGCTACCCAATCACCAACGCCCTAAAGAGGACTCTAACCAATCAAAAGTAGGATACAGTAGTAAAATACTTGAGGACAAACTCTTATTGGCTGTTAACTGCCACGTTGTCGCGCGAAAGCGCACTACTACAATATGGTCACAATGCAATTCCGCCCTACCAATATTCGCTGTGTTTCTCAAGCCGGCATGACCATAGACATAAATACATAGACGTCGCATTGGCAGCTTTGGCTGGGATATGTCAACGTCGCCGCCATATTGGACCGGGAAAGACTGATGCACCGTGTTTAAAATTAGTTTCTTCACCATGTTTATTACATTATTCATCACACTAGCAGAGCTTGGTGTCACTGTCATACACGGTTTATTTTTCTCAATTGTTTTGATCAATATTCATTCAATAATGTTGGGGTGCTGAGAGAAAATCGGTCTATAATGACGTAATACTAAAATGTTAAATGCATGACATTCATGATTTTTTTAAAGGTTTTTTATACAAATGTCATAGAATGGACTGTATACATGAACATTTGAGTATAAGTATAATGTTACTTGAAAAACTACTGATCCTAAAAAAAATGATATTGATATACTTTGTCTTACTGAGAGTGAGACTGAAGAATATGTTAGCCTGAATGAATCCCACCCCAGTCATATTAATACTCACATTCCTAGAGACACCGGCTGAGGAGGTGAGGTAGCAGCCATATGTAATTCAAGCTTTTTAATTAATCCTAAACCTATACTAAATTATAATTCATTCGAAAGCCTTGTTCTTAGTCTTTCTCACCCGACCTGGAAAACAGTGCAGCCAGTTCTGTATGTTATAGTCTACCACGCTCCTTGCCTGTACTTTGATTTTTTTTTTCTGAATGAGTTTTTATCACGTTTAATCCGTAAAACAGATAAAGTAATTATTGTAGGTAATTTTAATACTCGTGGATGTTGATAATGACAGTCTTAGTAATTTGTTAATCTCATTATTAGACTCAATTGCCTTTTGTGTAAATAAACCCACCCATTGTTGTAATCACACTCTTGATTCTGTTCTATCATATGGCATTGATATTGAACATTTAATAACTGACCATTATTTAATAACTTGATTTCCTGTTAATAGACTACAAGCCATTAGGAAAACCTTCCTATAGCAGATGTCTATCTGATAGTGCTGTAGCTAAATTTAAGGAGGAGATTCCATCTGTATTTAATTCAATGCCATGTCTCAATATAACGGACGACTCCTATAATATATGATAACTGATCAGATCTCCCAAATTGATCATCTTGTTAATAGTGCTACAGGCACTGCGAACAACACTAGATTCTATTCTATCTAAGTCTTACCCTTGGCACTTCTTTACTGGATATGATCAATCTCTCTTTATTGTCAGGCTACGTACCACAGTCCTTTAAAGTAGTTGTAATTAAACCCCTTCTTAAAAAGCCCACTCTTGACCCAGGGGTTTTAGCCAACTATGGACCCATTTCTAACCTCCCCTTCCTCTCTAAGATTCTGGAGAAAGTAGTCGCCAAACAGTTGTGTGACTTTTGACATAGCAATTCAATTCAGTTCAATTAAATTTTATTTGTATAGTGCCAATTCATAAAAGAAGTTATCTAAGGACACTTTTCAAATAGAGCAGGTCTAGACCATACTCCTTATAACATTATTTACAGAGACCCAACAGTTCCCACCATGAGCAAGCACTTGGCGATGGCGGCAAGGAAAAACGTCCTGTTAAGAGATTTTTATTGGTTAATCATTGTCAGTTTGTACATGTTAACGATTAATCCTCCATAAACACAAAATTTAGTCATGGAGTTCCACAAGGCTCTGTGCTTGGACCAATTCTATTTCACCTTATATATGCTTCCCTTAGGCAACATTATTAGGAATCACTCTATTTACTTTCACTGTTATGCAGATGATACCCAGTTATATCTATCAATCAAGTCTAATGAAATTAATCAATTATCTAAATTACAAGTATGTCATAAAACATAAAAACCTGGATGAGCTGCAATTTTCTGATGTTAATCTCAGACAAATCAGAAGTTCTTGTACTTGGCCCCAACACCTCCGAAACTCAGTGTCTTAAATATAGTAGATGGCATTACCTTGGCCTCCAGCACCACCGTCAGGAATCTTGGAGTTATCGTTAATCAGGATATATCCTTTAACTCCCACATAAAGCAAACCTCTAGGACTGCCTTTTTCCACTTACATAATATTGCAAAAATTTCAGATCAGATTCAGAAAAACTAGTTCATGCATTTGTTACTTCTAGGCTGAATTACTGCAACTCCTTATTGCACTGGTGGCATTTTAATGCACATGACAATAAATTCCTTATTATCCTTAAATGTGTTGTTTTCAATAATGGGTAATAATGTAATATTTACATGGGTTTAATGGAGGTTTTCTTCTGAAATTTCCATTATTCCTGTCAACATTAAGTTCTTCCCAGAAATCCTATATATAATACATATATTTATTAATAGAGCATTAACAAAAGAATCCTCTAAATTGGGTACTTTTGAAATCTACTGTACATTATTTGTCACAGATTACAAAGACACTTAGATTAATAACTATGTATTAGATAAACTATGCCACTGAAAAACTCTGGAAACAGCTACAAGTGTTATTTATTATATATTTATTATTTTTTGTCAAAAATGAGCTTTCCTGCTCAAGAAATAACAACTCTACTCAGTTACTCAAAACATTTATTTTATCACAGTACATGGACAGAATGTTTTGTAGACAATAACAGCATAATAGAGCCATCTAAAAATCATCACATCAATTCAATCATCTATCTCAGATCACAAGTGCAAATAGTTAATGTCAAACAAGTTAAAGGTCATCATGGATACTGACAAATACTGACAACAAGGAGACAGGCACTGATGTCATCATCACCATCGCATTGCTCCACCGTGAACCCTATGTACTTCATTAAATCTTCATTTTAATTCACGTTTCATTCATACAAACAAACTGACTCTGGGAATTATGTATAACAAAAACTTCACATCAGGCTTACAGGATATAATTTCTGCAACATTAATGTAAAAAGATGTAAATATATCCATATATACACAATTGGAGTGAATTAATAATTATTAAGAAATTAATACATCATTTATTTATTTATTTTATGAACTGCTACACATTCCTAACACTTGCCTAAAAGCTCCATGGGGCATTCACAGACACTGATGAAGGTCTGACGTGTTCTACAGCAGAGCATCAACTCCAGAAGATTTAGATTAAATTCCACAAGTATTTATAAAATTTGTGCTGTTAGACTTTATGTACTACATCTTTGTATTCACCCATTACCTGATGTCTTTATATACCACCCTGTTTGATGGACCTGTGCTTTAAGTTCAAGCTGAGGAACTGAGCTACAGTTTGGGTATGTGTCATCCACTGCATGGGTTAGTTCCTGGCTGCGTGCTGCTCTTTATCTGAGGTGTGGAAGTTAACCATGCCAGTTAATTTTCATGTTTTTGTAAACTTGAAAAATACAGTTTGAAACACCTCCAACGTTGTTGCTGTGCACTTTTGTCTCTGTCTCTGTCCTCTCTTTACCCCCCTCTCCCTCTCTCTCCCTCTCTCAACATTACTGGTCAAGGGAGACCGCCACCCACTTAGAGCTGGGGTCTGTCTAAGGTTTCTGCCTCTTAAAAGGACGTTTTTCCTTGCCGCCATTTGAAAAGTTAGTGACACTAAGGACACTGAGGACACTGTCATTTATAATTGGTGCTATACTAATAAAATTGAATTGAATTGAATCGATAGGATTTCCAAACAGTATTACTTCTGAACGCTTGGGTTGGGAAAAACCCACTATAACTGAGGTTGCAAGTACCAATGGTTGTTTCCTGCCCTCTAGTCTCAGGGGGCAGTAATGAGCCCATTACAGCCTGTCCTGCCACAAAGAGACAAAGGTGCCAACGCTATCAGGTGAGCTATCAGGATGCCCTGAGATTAATGCATTATTGGAAATGTTTGCAGGTGTTTTCAGGGGATCTGACAGTTCCAAATGTGGCAAGTAATGAGTCTGAGGCTACCTGTTTAATTAAAAACTATTGACTATGTCTGTAAAAATGTTTAGTCATCAAGGTCATACTATATCACATCTGGCCTTTGGATGAGAGCAAAACGGTTTCAAGAATCTAAAGCAAGTACAGTTGCTTTTAACTTTAAACAAACTATTGTCTTCTACAATACCTTCTAATAATCCCTGAATGCAAATTCATGTAGCAGTATATTCAAAGCTCATGTAAAAAAGCATTATTATGGAATTACACACAATTAAGTGTAGCATGTTTAGACGTAATGCACAAACTTTAGCAAGTAGGCTACCTAATATAGGATAAACAGTTAACTGCTTGAAGTATAAGCACAAGTCCATGTTTGTCTTTTTACATTTGTATGCGTTTTATTATTTGTTGCATTTTGTCTGAGTATTTGTGTTATAACTCTTAAATGTGTTTTTCAGTTTGTAGTAATTTTGGATTTTGGAGCACATTTCCTTAATGTTGTTGCTTTTGCTTATGCAAGTGTTTGCTCCTTAGGGACCACCATGTTTATCAATATGACAAGCAACATTCAACATCTCAGAAACAGCTTGGTGCAAACTGAAACTGTGCTTTAAATTAAGGAAACTCTCTCTGTTCTGTCATAAAGTGTTAAATTCAAAATCATAACCAAGTAGTAAAAGTAAACGAGTTTTCAGAAACAAACGCGCCAGCTGATATGAAGCTCTCATTCAAGAGTAAAGTGAATGTGTTCAGAAGTTTTGTTCAGTTAAGGTTACCAATGGCTGCTCTCGGGCATTCAAAGAATAAAACAGAAAAGAAAAAAAAATATTAGCACATTTAAGTTACATGCAGGCACTAAATAATCTATGACATTTTTGTGGTCCATTTATGTTTCACATTTTTCTGGGCTACAACATTTCAAGCCTAAAGATAATTTCTATTAAGATCAACACACCAGTCAGAATCATAACAAGGACATTTGTAATGGTAAGCATTAAATGACATGCAGGCTGACATCTTAGCTTTGTGTGCTCCTACATAGTATCATAACTGACACAGAATTCTGCCTGCCTTCTTAAAGATGCAGTTGGAACATTTTTTGTATTTTTTTGTCATATATCCTGACAGCAGCACAAGACAGATAATCTGAAAATCAGGTTCCTCTGGTTTGTTGTACTGCTCCTAATGGCATTGCAAGAATCTACCAGGTTTTAACAAAAGCAACCAATTAGAGCCAAGACATATGATAACTGATTGTTGAGTCACATTCTCAGGGCATCAAATACAGATGCTTTGGGACCCTGGGTATGAGACTCAACAATTAACTATCTTCAAGCTAAAAATAGAACAAGCTAGGGGAACCTGCTTCTTTTAACAGATTATCCGTCTCATATACTACTGCCAGGACACAGTGAAAATTTCAACAAATATGACAAAAAAATATTTTTTATGTGCAGCTTTAAAACAAGCACACAGGCTAACTATCAGGTGGTGGGATGATGTTGGCATATGAGCACTAAAAGAAGCTGTACAAAAGATTTTGTTCTGATCCATTAAGAGAGGTTAATACGGAGGTTGGATCTTTGACATCTTATTTACATTTATCTAATGTTGTGCTACCTTTTAAAGGAACAGACCCACATTTTGGCCTGGTTCCATACCTCTGAATCTCAGGCAGTAAAGTGTGAAATAAAAGGTACTAGATTTATATATCTGTCATGACTTCATCCAGAGTACTGCTTGTCAGGTTAATCCATATATAAGAACATGAATCCAGATGAGAAAATTATTTGCATTGCAGTAAGGTTGATTTTACAGAAATCTTAAGTTACTGCGGTATTACCCACTGGCACCTGTTGTGTACATCTAAATGGTAGCAAAAGTATATCATCATTATCATTTCTTGCTACGGATATTGGTCAGTCTTCAATGTTAGAAACTCACCTGGGCCTGGATCTTGGAACATAAGGGATATCTGTGTGAGTTATTGTATGGATTGTGCTTATCATGACATGGACTGTTTCCCTCCCTCTCCATTCTGGATTAAGTCAGGCTCATGTAGTGTCAGTCCGGTTCCTTTAGGATCAGGATTTATTTGTGCTGGGCCAACACATCATTGAAGATGTTGAGAAAGATGTGAACATGGTACTCCTTGAAAATCAGTGCAGGACGGAAACGGATTGATCGATCCCCACACCCTCCCAGGAGTACACCTGTCAATTACAAACACTGTTACTACATATCCACACAGTTCAATGTCATATTTTTCTGTCACCCAACTTCATTTGAATTTGAATTTAAAAATTAAAATAAAATTTTAATTATGGTGAATTTAATGTGTCAAAATTTAGTTTAATTTCTATTAAACAGTAATCAGTTAATGGAGTTTGGAAATGGAAATGTCCAGTTCCATAAATGAATCAGCAGCAAGCCAGTAATCAATTCTGGACCTGAAAGTACCGTTGGGTTTACACCACAAGTATTGTAGTATGTACGGAAGAATTTCTAAGACAATGCCATTTTGGCCCTTTGCAAAATAAGAATAATGCCTTTCTTTTTACCGAATCTTCAAGACCCCTCACATTTAAAGAAGCAAATGAAATTGCTCTGTTGGATTTTTTCCAATTTAAATTGCACAAAGTGTAAAGCTTGTTTTACGCCGTTTAAAAACAACAAAAAGAGTGTCACTATATGTAGATGGTAAATTAACCTGTATTTGTATAGCGCCTTTCTAGTTTTACAACCACTCAAAGTGCTTTTACACTACATGCCACATTCGCTCTTTCACAGTGACGGCAAAGACCATGGAACAGAAACTCATTCATGCATTCTCACACAGCATCGGGAGCCTATTGGGGTTAAGTATCTATGATCAACGATACTTGACATGCAGCAGGGAGGAGCTGGGGATCAAACCACCAACCTTCTGATTAGACGACCCGCTCTACCCCCAAACCTCTCTCCTCCTCCTTGCATTCCTTAACTTCTACAGCATTAAACCACACTGCAGCCACCGCATTAGCCAACTTAGCACTCAGCTACTCTGTTTAGCTTGTTCCCGTTGGGCCAGTTGTTGGTTAAATTTTTTATATAGTAGTATCATAGTCATGCTGCCGGTCAGTCTGAATTGCATCATTTACCTAATTTTCAATCTGGCAGGCTTGATCATATTTAAGTGACTGGAGCAAAAGCAGAAAGGGGTGGGACTTAGGAAGGGTCAATTGCAAATCCCATTTTTAGGAGTTGTAATGCTACGGCTATTAAATGATCATACATATTTTGTATACAAAGTATGTGGCCGAGAGAATTCGTGTGTTGTTTATAATGATCATTGAAAGCAGCACAGTCAAATCCTGAGATTGTTTTATAACTGCGGGAATAAGGCACGATCAAATGTGATCAGCCATTCAAAGGGTCAAAGTGGTTGTTTAAAATGTGCATCTCTAATATTATCTAATCTTATCTTTAATTTACACAATCAATAAGTCAATATTGTAGCGTCACACCCTAAACCACTCAAAATGAGATGGTGCCACAATGACTGATTGTCAAGCCCTCAAATAAGTGGTGCTGTACTTCATACCTTTGTCTCTGGCCTTGAGCAGGAGGCTGTTGCGTGTTGCATCGTCACGTATATCAATGGCACAGAAGGTCCCCTGTCCTCGAGCACGGCTCAATATGCCAGGGTACTGAGCCTAGGGGACCAGACATATGTAGTTCACGTTACTAAGTTCAGGAGAAATCATCATACAGATGCAAATAGACATGGTGTAGTGAAATAAACACCCAAATGTGTTTATTTGGGCGTTTTCTTTCCACTAGTCTGAAAGAAGACTACCTACACACACACAAACACACTACCTGTAGCTCATAAAGGCCGTTTAGCAAGGCTTTCCCAGAACGCATCACCTCCTCCAGAAGGTTTTCTCTGCGAATCACATTGAGAACCTCAGCCAGTAGCAAGTTCTTTGATGGGTCACCCATCCATGTGTTAAAGATACGGTATGGCTGAAAAAAGTTGACAACAGATACACAAGCAAACACAAAAAATGTAAGTAAAAAATGACAACAATCCTACTAACATATTTACACATCTAAGTGACAGTCAAAGGACGGTAATGTAACACTAAATCACCATTTAAACCTAAGGTTTTAAATACATCTATAATATGTGTCATTATATATCATGGCAACACATCTGAGTCAAGAAACAAATGACTAGATCAAGTATGTTTGGCATGTCCAACAGATTCATACTATGGGGTGTAGAGGACACAACAGGGCTTTAGACTGTCTTGTTCAAATTTTAAACACAACATATACAACTTCACCAAGGTGACTAAAATGTACCGTAAATTTTGTTGTAGAATTTTTTTTAAAATCACAAACCTTGTCAGCCTGTAATTCATCCTTGTGGTAGTAGCCCCCAGTCAGAAGCTTCTTGCTGAAAGAGACGATGTCAGCAGGATCATCCATGCCCCAGTGCTCATGGGCCCAAAACTTTCCTGTACTCCCTCCACCAGTCTGGACTTCATCAACATGGAAAGCACAGCCATGCTGTGGAGATAAACGATTAACAGACTGAGAAATGGAAAAGTGTCTGAGGGTGTTCATGACAAGTAATCACGAGACTCGTGTTATTACTGGGGATGCACCTTATTGGCCACAGTTTTTACAGCTGCAAGGATGTTTTTGTCGGACCGGGTGGTGAGTAACACGGGTGCCTCCCAGGAAACAAATGGTAAATGGTAAATGGACCGTACTTATATAGCGCCTTTCTAGTCTTTGTGAACCGCTTTCCCAGAAAAATGTGCTGTTACCCTCTTCTCGAGGTCCTCTGAGATTTCTTTTCCTGTCAGGTAGGGCTGCACGATATGGTAAAAACATCATATTGCAATTATTCTGACTGATATTGCCATTGCATTATATTACACGATTATTGCGTTTTTGCATCACAAATACAATTTTCACTGAAAAAAACTGTTAAAATTATGGTGACAATTCTTCATCTGCAGTTTGTTTTGATTGAGGAGCTCAGACATCCAGAGGGAGCCCTGAGTAGAGCCTCTGCTCCTTTGCCCCAAAAGGACCTAGCTGAGATGGTTAGGGCATCTGATTGAAGGTCTGGAGGTTTTCTGGGCACGTCCTCCTGGGAGGAGACCCTGGGGTAGACCCAGAGCTCGCAGAAGGGACTATATATCTCATGGAATGCCTTAGGATCCCCCAGGAGGAGTTGGAAGGCATTGCTGGGGAGGAGAGGACGTCTGGTGTGTCCTGCTTGACCTGCTGTCAATGTAACCCGACCCCGGATAAGTAGATGATAATGGATAATTGATAGAAGGTCTTAGAGAGGTTTACATAATCTGAACACCAACATACAGGCTCTGACTTTTGCAAGAGCAGAGAGACTGGCTGGATGGGTTCATCACTGGCATTTATGACCCTGTATACCAGTTCATGTGGCTCAAAGTGATGCCTCAGGCCCCTCGGCGTCTGTGGTGCTCCCTCCCTCCCTGTATATGGTTGGCTCATCAAGTGCTTTGGCAGATTTCCATTCCCTAGGCTAAGGCATGGACATGGACATTTGTTCTATCTGTGTTCTAAAAATGTTATGACTATCTTGCAGCCTTGGAATCCATGATAGGTCTAATATGTCCCCAGTCTGTTTTGTCCTGATTGGGTACTTTTTTTAAATCCTGGATAATACAGGTGCACAATGCACACTTCATGTATATTAAAGTTATAAAAAATAATCCAATGTGAACTTTGAAGAAAGGTGTGAAGCTTGTTGCTTCTGGATGGAGGTTTTATAGTCCCATAGATGTTCCAGCAGCTATCATCATCAACACGTTGTAGTAACATGGCACAGAGTTTTACTTTTTACCTGCATTTTACCTTATTTATTCTAGTGGTTATTTAATTTGTGTTTTTTTAATTGTTCTGTCTTAGTAAGTCCTGATGTTTAGATCCTAGAGCATTTTCATCTTTTATCTTAATCCTTTTACCATGTTTGTCTACTGTGTGCGTTGTTTGTTGTCTTTATATTTTCGTCAAGAGGAATGCTTTGCCATTTACTGCAAAACAAATCTACCTAAGGCACCCCGGTAACCGCCGTGGGTAGGTGCTACTCACAGGACAGGGAGAGTTAAATGTTCTAAATGTGCTGCAATGAGTGTATATTCTTGTTATGTTGTGGTGTCCCTATGTATCTTGTATCTATGTATGTATGTCTGAAAGCTATGTACAGACTGCAGTGACAAATGTCCTGTGAAGGACAATAAAGTATCCATCTATCGATCTATCTATATGTACAAATAAAGTAACCTTGAACCTTCAGTGTTTATGCTTGACAACAGAACAGATCTACAATGCATTAAGAAAACAATTGCCTGCATTTCTCACTTCAGTGTTTGTTGATTCTGTGCAGCCTTTACCTGAGTTACCAGAATGGATTGTGTTCTGTGTGTATTCTGTCGTCTGTACATTGTACGGGCAGCTGTGGCTCAGAGGCAGAGTGGGTCGTTCCTTAAAAAGATACTGAACCCCAAATCGCTCCTGATGCTGTGCATCGGTGTGTGAATGTGTATGAATGAGTTAGTTTCTGTTCGATGGGCTTTACCATCACTGAGTGAATGTGTGTGAAAGGGTGAATGTGGCGCGTAGTGTAAAAGCGCTTTGAGTGGTCGGAAGACTAGAAAGGCGCTATACAAGTACAGGTCCATTTACTTACTACATTGTACTTGTACTTAAATGCACTTCTGCTCATGAATTACTCTCAGCTTTTTGCAGTTGTTGGCTCTCTACCGAGCAGGGGTCCCCGGGAAGGGCGGGAGCTCAGAGTAGTGGAAAAGAGACAGACAGCGGACAGCTGACGATGACTGCTCTGCATTGTGCATGATATCTTTGTGAGTAAAAAACACCTGTCTGGCAGCTGAAGTAAAAAAAAAAAAGAAAAAAAAGCTCAATATACAGTAGCTTATACTGATCAGTTAAAAAATGCTTTGATCCCTATATGGTCTAGTGAAGTAAGACTAAAAATCACAAGAAGCTCAAGTCATGTTTTTTTTAGTTCCCAATCCAGTCTGAGTCCTTTAATATTGAGTATCAGCTGATGCAGAGTCCCGATCCGATACTTAGAATTTTTTTTTACACTGTGCACACTTCAAGTACATTCAAGTTATTAACATCAATCCAATGTACATGCCTGACAATTAAATAGCTCTGCATTGCATTAAGAAACAAAATGGCTGCATCTAAGCTGTTCCTTAATTAAATTCATTTACACAATTAAGTATAAAATAACAAACCATCTGTAATCCTTGCCTTGTCGCTGTCTGGAGGGAGTTTCTCTCCAGTGTTTGGTACTTCAATGCAGCCTTTGTCTGACTTATCTGAATGAACTTTCTATATTCTGCTGACAGTTTATTTTCCGTTGTCTGTACATCTTTTGCACAGATTGCATTCATTAATTACTATTGGCTTTATGTTTGCGGGACTTGTGGGGTGTTGAGTGTGGTTGTGTTGGATCTCTACCCTCTGAGCAGGAGCAGCCTGGCTGCTCTCTCCCACACAGAGTGGAGGAAATAAACAGCAAGAGTTGACGATGGCTGCAGCTTTGCGAGTAAAAACAGCTATGTGACAGCTGACGTAAAACAAAAGATCAGATCAGATCAATAAATTTAATATAGCCAATTCCAAGCAGCAAAAAAATTACTTGATCGACGCCGATACCAATTGTTGAGATTTGATTGGGACATCCCTAGTTGCCATAGTAGTTACATAGTAATTACCTTGTGTGCAATGTTGCGGAGGCTTCTAAAGAAGTCTGGGGAGGCGTGGTTATCTCCGCCTTCAGCCTGGATTGGTTCAATTACAATCCCAGCGACTGGCTTCCCCTTCTGCCTCCACTTCACAATCAGATCCTCCACCTGAAAACATACACACACTTTTATTTTGTATTTTCTCAGAGGTGCCATTTTTACCTAGAGGTCTACTGTGTAACATTTAGGTTGCACCTAAAAATAGGAATGGTTGTGTTTTTGTTATCTTAGAATGCTCCGCCATGTTGAACTGCCATGTTTCTACAGTAGCCCAGAATGGACAAACCAAACACTGGCTCTAAATAGGGCCTTCACATTTTTCATGAGTTTCTTGGTCATTGTAGTTTCTCCTACATGCTTGGAAGGCTGAGCTGTATTCAAATGGTTGCAATATGCACTGTCACCGCACAATGTGACTAAATCCCACACACCGGACCTTAAAAAGAATGATACTCAAACATCTGTGATCTGTATCATACATACTGGCAACACTTCCTACCTTATAAAGGCACAAAACATTAATCACCGGAGTAGTGCTGAAATTATAAGTCGATTAAGTGTTGATAGAAATTAAAATTCTTAAGTAAAAGACAGTTTGCACATCGCTGTAAACTGTATAGCTTTGGATTTTAAATTGTTGGGCCGACAAAATAAACACTTGGAATACATCATATTGGACTCTGAACTTGAGATGGGAGTAACTTTTTTGTTGCAATTTATAGCTTAAAAGATTGGTTGGTTAATGAAACACTGAAAAATTTATAACATTGCCCTCATTTAAAAACTGCAACTGCAATTATAATTTTATTTATAAAATAACCACCATACATTATGATTGTGCACATACATGTCCCCTTTTGCACACAAACACTCTACCTCCTCCAGACAGCGAGCCTCTTCCTGTGCGTTCTCTTTGGTAAACTCCTCCAGTGGGTACTGCAGTCTGGGGAAAGGGGCGATTGGCCAATCAAATGACGGCACGTCCAGCTTGTGGACTGATTTGGAGTGTGTTGTTGCCAAGCAACCTTAACAACGCAAAAGCACTGTGTTAGCCATGAATCAACAATTCAAATAACTTTTAAATGGTGGTTCACTATGCAGTATTTCAGGCGTGCTTCAGGTATATATTGTATCTATATCTAGCAATTGTACATTTATATCTAGATGTAATTTTTCTATATCTCTACACCCAGCTGAAAGGGCTTAATTCCTCCCCATCCTGGTAGGCTTTTACTGTGAAAGATTAAAACAGGAACAGTTTTATTGACAGTAGTTTACCACCGACAGAAAGTCGGCAAAGGAGAACTGACTGGAATTAAATGAATGAAAAAAACATTTTCAGTAATAAAGAGAATTTTAGCAGCAGCAGTGTGTGTGTCTGTGTGTGTGTGTGTGTTCGTGTTCTTGTGTGTTTTAATGTCACTATTTAATGTACCCATGGTTCTTCCATGGAAACCTCCCATGAAAGATAGAATACTGAGGTCTGGGCACCCAGGGGCCTGAGGCAGAAGAGAGATAAAAAAGGAAAGAATAATAATGAGGACATAGAGGAAGATGCAAATATTTATTTATATTTATGCAAATATACCTGAAATCCAAAAAAATGAATGATAATAATGCTAAGTCGTGAGATTTCTTTCACCCACCTGATTTATCATGCAGGTGCTGAGGTCTTCATCAGATGGTATGTTGTGGCCTCGCTCCTTGTTCTATAGAAAAAACAAGCACACTGATGGGCCTCATACCACGATGAAATTAAGTTAAATTTACATTCGGTTGTTGAGCTATTATTTAAGTTCTTATTTCATCAAATATTTATTTTGAGAACAGAAAAATAAATAAAATTTTTAATATCAGTTACAAATTAGAAAATAAAATGTAAGAAATCAAGGTGTCAGTTGAGCATTCCCTTATCTATTTATTTATTTATATATTTTTTTGTATTCTAAAACATTACAGTCAAAACTTTAATGGTGTCACCCCTCATTAATGTTTTCACATATTGTATATGATAGCAGGTTTGGGGTCAACACAGTGCAGGTTTACAACTAGCAGCACAGGGGTTATATTTCAGTTTTAAAGACACTTAAAATAATCAGGCACAGATCAGTCAGTTTAGTCATCATGAGGAGTATCAGTCTGTGAAAATAGCTATACAATGTCCTCTGTTGCAGTTGGGGAGCTTGGTCTGAAAGACAAAGTATTACTTTTTTTTAATGATAAGAAAAGCCATCTTCAAGACACCAAACCAAAGCGTCTTTATATCTTATCGGCTCTAACGGTTTACTTATTTACTTACCATTTACTTGTTTAGACAGTGTCCATGTCACTCTGCAGTAATACAACAGACTGACTCTCCTCTGTAAATCAATTTCTTATTTCTAATCTCTGGCTGCTCTGCTTACCTTACCACATCTAACTGTTCACTCCACAGCATACTGTTCATTGTCTAAGAGGAAAGCTAAACCGGTGGATGATATTTTTTCAGCCAACATCTAGATAAAGATTAAGATGACTGTTGACATCCTGGAACTTACTCATTCCTTTTGATAGCAATGAAGAAGGTAGCAAACTACTTCCACATTGATGGCACTTGAAAATGTCACATTAGTTTACCTTCATATAAATGTTGGTGTGCCTGCACATTTTTGTAGTTTGTCCCAACTGTTTTGTTGCTGCCTCTTGTCTAATTCTAAGTGGATTGTAAAGAAATTTAGTCCATAAATCTGTTTCTTCCACGAAAAGGTAACGTCAAATAACATTACAGAGACAGAACTTCACTGAATTCAAGGTGATTATTATAACAGTAGAGCAACAGGTCAAGTGGCTAAATCAACTTTTGAAAAAGAGATATTTTGTCTAATGGAGGAAACTGTGTTACTAATAAGGCACTACAGCTTGTGAGTCTGCATATGCATGCAGGGTGATGACTAAGACTTTGCATTGAAGCAGTAAATTGTTCATTTGTTTCCATTTTATTACTTGACGTAAATGTAACACATTTAATTAATAATTAGGTCTTCTATTATATTTTAGACCATGTTAATCAGGTAATGATTCAATTTGTTCCAATGTGTACTCACTCACCCTGTACCAGATAAACATAGCTTTGTAAGCATTTTCATTGGAGCAAGAGCCACAGGCCATTGTCTGCACACGAGTCATTCCACTCGGAGCCACCTAACAGGAGGGAATACAAATTGTATTACTGCTGTTTAATAAAGCTTAATCATGAACAAGGAACACAATCAATATCACACTGAAAAAAAATATTAATTGAATACATAGCAATGGAATTATTATCTGCCTCAATTAAAAAACAAACCGCTGAGTTAGACATTATTTAAAACACATTCACCTGTACACTTGATTCTTAATTTCAATTCCGATTCGATTTATGTCTTTCTGCCTGTCCACCATCCACAATAATCCTACATTCTATCATTCACACATATAACTATTTGCCATAACACATACACTGTGATCCCCACTTTTCTGTTGAAGTGACACATACACATACAGCCAGCCCATACATACATCTATACATCCATACTCATATTGCCCATACTGATTGTTTGCAATGTTGTAATTGTTTCATGTTTTGACTTGCTGTAAGTTGTTTGTATGTGTATTCAGTTTGATGTCATACAGTTATCACTTGTCTACAACAATGCATCATGTATGTCACCAATAAACAAAAAAAGTGTAATAAATTAATAATTTAGAAGATTATGTCAATTTCATTACAACAATGATAAAAGCAACAACAACAATAATAATGTTTAATATTAGTATTTTTACTGGTAAATCTGTGTGTGTGTGTGTGTGTGTGTGTGTGTGTGTGTGTGTGTGTGTGTGTGTGTGTGTGTGTGTGTGTGTAACTAACTGAGAGAAGACTTTCAGTGATCTTTTCAGGAAAGTTTTCAGGTGGCAGGATTCCCAGGGCAGGTCGGTTGACAAGTGTACTCTGACAGAAAACATAGATAAATTTGTGAAATTGGCGAGCACCATCTTCTTTGGTGCGGTGTCCTTTTTTGGTGCGGTGCGGCATCAAGGCAAAGGACGCAGACTGAACAAACTCATTAAGAAGGCTGAGTCTGTTGTTGGCTCTAAGCTTGTCACCCTGGAGGAGGTGGTGGAGGAGAGGACGCTGGCAAAACTGCTGGCAATCATGGAAAATCCCTCCTACCCCCTTGACACAACACTGGACAAGCTAACGAGCAGCTTCAGCAACAGACTCATTCACCCCCGCTGCTCTAAGGAACGATATACACTGCAATAAGACTTTCTAATAATAATAATAATAATAATTGACTCTTAATCAGCTGCTATAACATTATAATTTCCCTTCAGGGATAAATAAAGTATTCCTACCTACCTCCCTACCTACCCACCCACCCACCCACCCCTATTAGGAGTTTGTTAAAATACAGCGCGAAATATGGCCACGGAATTCAAAATGGCCAACTTTGACAGAAAGCCACGGACACGCCCTTGGACGTCACAAATGGCACAAATTTTAAATTGCAACAGTTTTTGATTGTACTGACCAATTTTGAAGTATATCAGATGAATTCCCTAGGAGGAGTTTGTTCAAATACAACGCAATAAATTGCCTAAAATGGCTGCGAAATTCAATGTGGCCGAATTTGACGCCACGCCACGGACACGCCGTTCAACATACAGTCACAAATAGCACAACTTTTAATCAGCAATGTTTTTTGACTGTACTGACCAATTTTGAAGTAGATCCGATAAATTCCCTAGGAGGAGTTTGTTCATATACAAAGCAAAAATCACAGAAAATTAAAAATAAAAATCAAAATGGTCGACTTCAATGCCATGCCATGGACACGCCCTTTAATGTACATGCACAAATAGCACAGCTTTGAAATGAGCAACATTTTTTAACTGTACTGACAAATTTTGAAGTAGATTCGATAAATTCCCAAGGAGGAGTTTGTTCAAATACAAGGCGAAAAATTCGCTGAAAATAAACGTGAAAATCAAAATGGCCGACTTCCTGTTGGGTTTGGGTTCTGGGTCCAAGAGGCTTTTTTGCTTGCCATCATGATAGACATGCGTACCAATTCTCGTACATGTCAGTCATACGTGTCTTGGGGGCTGACTCTCGGGGGCATGGCTAAGCTATTATGTGACGCCCATCTACGGGACCAAGACAATACCTTATTCGCCATGACTGAATTTTGTGCAAAGTTTCATGATTTTTGGGCATGTTTACACCCCCAAAAAGTGTTCAAATGTTAACACAAAAGCTGATTTTTGCCACGTCGCCATGTGTTCAGGGCGGGACTCTTATGGAAGTATAAAAAATGACATTTCCTTTCACCACTAGGTGGCGCTCTCACTATTAGTGAATATTATCACATAGACGTGTTCAGGGCAGGACTAAATCCAAAATGGCCGACTTGCTGTTTAGTGTGAGGTATGGGTCCATGAGGCTTTTCTACTTGTCCCATCATGATACATATGAGTACCAATTTTCATACATGTCGGTCTTACTTGTCTTGCGGGCTGATTCTGGGGGGCGGGGCTTATCCATTTGCATACCTCGAGTTCTCGAACGATTGAATTTTGTGCATATTTTCCTGAGCTTTCGAGCATGTTGCGGCCAACAAATATGCAACTCTGGAGCGAATAATAATAATTCCTAGAGATACATTAGGGCCTCCCAGCGGTCGCTGGTTCAGTCCCTAATGATTCCTATAGATACAAGAGGGACCTTCCAGCGATCGCTGGCTTAGTCCCTAATTAATCTATTACTGATATGATGGCCGACTGAGGGAGTTTTGAGCTGGAATGAAAATGTTTAACATGTTATATAATAAAACATATGCGTACATTGGCAACCAATTCTAGTTGACATTTCTGCATTTTATTAGATATATATCTAACTGTTTTCATATCAGTGCCTATGGAATATCATATAAAATAAAATATAGATATGTCTGTAATATAGCAATATTGGTCCATATATCGGTTGGTCTGTGTAAGGCAAAATGTTTTTCACTTTTTCACAAGAGATAGATATATTAGATATATAGATATATTTGTATTTGCACTGTACTACATCCGAGGTGAGTGTAAATTACTACACAATGTACGGGATGAGCAATGAAGAGCCATGCAGTCATTGCAGGTAATGCACAGTCTAGAGGCTAAGAAGCTAATAATCTATTTTCACATTCCTAGCCTCAGTGTCATCAATTATTTTCCCAAGTGTTGAAAGTGAATTATTCCACACCATAGGACCAATGTGCATGTCCAATGTAATATTTTGTGAGCTATGTGTCAACCTGATAATAAACACTGCTTTGCTACTATGACAGTAGAGCCAGAGTTGAATCAGTCAGAAGTGTGGTTATTGTAATATAACAAGTGTGCAATACACAGAATACACCAGTTTACTATACTGGAATAGCACCAGTGGTTCTCAACCTGGGGTCTGGGAACTCCCAGGGGTCCTTGTGAGGTTTCAAGGGGGTCCCCAGAAAAATAATCTGTTTCTGTAATTCTGTTCATAGGTTTCATACTCTTCATCTGCCGATCTACAGTATAGACCAGGGGTCAGCAACGTTTACTTTCAAAAGCCAAACAATACCATTCCATAACATAAATTATCTTATATGTGAAGATGACCTACCAGACTGTTGGCATTGGCCATCAGTTTGAGGAGAGCAGGGTGGTTGTAACCTGAGGGAGGACAGAATGGGAGTGGGGGATAGATGGAGGAGAAGAAAATATTTGACTGAACAGCTGTTGAACAGTCTGAAAAGTTTATTGATGCAGCTTTATAGCAGAAAAACAGTCTAAATATATATCTGGTTTTACAATTGTTAAAATCCCTGTATTTGGAGAGACAGTTCTATGTATTTTACAGAGAATTCCTGTTCTAGATAGCTCATGTACATATGGTCTTTGCACATACAATAATAATAATAATGGAAAAAAATAAACTGGATGCTGCAAGTAAGTTTCACTGCATCTGGTAAACCTGTTGGTAAACCTGTTGTGTCCAGTGTCATACAATCTATTCTACCAATAGTCAAACTAAATATCCACTTAGGTTTATGTAGGCGGCCTGAGTCAGGGCTTAAAATACAATTAAAATTTTCCAGGACAACATAAATTATTTTCAGGATTTTTATTTATTATTTAAAATTAAAAATCATTAGCAACAGCTGATATGATATGCTTGTTATTAGGGATCGAGCACTGAACGTGCAAGACCCTATTGTAATCCAAGGAATTATTATTATTTTTCTGCGCATTTGATCGCATATTTGGCCCCCGCAACATGCTCAAAAACTCATGGAATGCGGCACCATGTCAGGCCTGGCGAAAAATTCGATATTCTATGCAACAATTTTAGGTTGAGTGGTGCCTGTAGCTCACATACCAAAAATCCTGTTTGTCGTGTTTGTAGCGCCCTCTATAGGATTTGAAAAAAGCAGCCCCGGCGCCACGTTTCACCAATATTTACGAAACTCGGTAGGCACAAATGCCGGGACGCACAAAAAAGTCTTTTGGACCCATACCCCAAATCCCACAGGAAGTCGGTCTTTTTGATTTAAAATTTCAATTTCAGCGAACTTTTCGCGTTGTATTTGAACAAACTCCTCCTAGGGAATTCATCTGATATGCTTCAAAATTTGTGAGTACACTCAAAAAATGGTGCTGATTAAAAGTTGTGCTATTTGAGACTCTATGTTAAAGGAAGTGTCCGTGGCATGCCCTCAAAGTTGGCCAGGTTGAATCGGATGTCAAACTGTTATGCCATTTCCGGCATTTAAGGGCTTCTGTTATAACTAACTCCTCCTACAGATTTTATCAGATTGACTCCAAATTTGATCACTGCAATCTAGACACATTGGTGATCAAAAGTTGTGCTATTTGTGACTGTACGTTTAACCGCGTGCCCGTGACGACGCGTCAAATTCCACCCATTGGCCGTCAAACAGATAGTACTCATATCTTCAGTACACAGTCTCACCCTGAACACGTCCTCACAACTTCAGTGTATATGATCCAATCTCAATGAAACTCTACATGACAATATTCAGACACAGTGATCGCGCCACCTACTTGCAACAGTAAGTAAGCGCGGCGTGGCATTTTTGAGCTGATTTACGTGAAATTTTCATGTTGGGGGTTGCAACGAATCTTCACATGTCTGATAAGAGTCCCGCCTTGAACACTTATATGTGATAATATTCAGTAATAGTGAGAGCGCCACCTAGTGGTGAAAGGAAATGTATTTTTTGTACTTTTATTCATATCTTCAAGCATATTGTCCAGATCCAGCTGAAATTATGTGAGAAGTTCCTTAGGAGGATGAGGATCACATATTATGAATCTTAAGAATTTGCATGTAACCATGTTGCCATGGCGACGCGGCAAAAATATAAAAAAATCACACTTTTGGGGGGACTAAACATGCCTGAAAACTCATGAAACTTTGCACAGCATTTGGTGGTGGTGAACGCCGAGGTATTGTCTTGGTCCCGTGGATGGGTGTCGCAAAATGGCTTAGCCACGCCCCCCAGAGTCAGCCCCCAAGACATGTATGACTGACATGTATGAAAATTGCTACGCATGTGTATCATGATGGGACAAGCAAAAAAGCCTCTTGGACCCATACCTCAGACCCAACAGGAAGTCGGCCATTTGGGATTTTGTCGCGATTTGCACACTTTGTATTTGAACGAACTCCTCCTAGGGAATTTATTGGACCGACTTCAGATTTGGACACAGCCATCTAAACAAATTCACCATTAAAAGTTGTGCTCTTCAGTTTTTTTCGTCAAACCTCCTACCCGTGGCGTGGCGTCCCGTGGCATCCAATTTCGATCCTTCAGCATAAAAAGAGGGATTCATCATAACATCTGCGTACATGATCCGACTGCAACGAAACTTCACATGTCTGATAAGAGTCCCGCCCTGAACACGTCTATGTGATAATATTCAGTAATACTCAGAGCGCCACCTAGTGGCAACAGGAAGTATCACGTTTTATATTTTAAAGTGCGTTTAGGTTAATAACTTTTGTATAGTTTGTCGCACATTCAAAAAACTTATATCCACACGTTCGGTGAATGGAGCTGAATCTCTCCATATAGGCCACGCCCATTACCCCCCCGAGTTTTTTTTTGGCTAGAGCGCAAAATGTCCGTAAACCACTTTTTCGTGTTCCTCCTATGTGCTTTGTCTGATTCGCACAAAATGTTGCACGTAGCATCTGGGGACCGTCCTAATAATAAACGAATTGAAAGAATTTTGATATTTCTAAAAATAAGCATGTTATAAAATCAGAACTTCCTGTGGATTATTGTTCAAAAGAGGAAGTGGAGCATTTTTCGACATTGGTATTTCCGATTGACACCAACCTTGGGTCCATAGTTCCCCATGTCTTCCTTAGCCATCTTGCACAATTTCAGGCCATCGCCAAACAGGCAACAGGAAGTTTCACGTTTTATACTCATGTTCTAGTCCTAGCAGGATGATCAGATCCAGCTGAAATTTAAAATGCAAAACACATTGTTGTTGATATGTGATGAATGTGGTGAGGGGGCGTGTCTGTGGCGTGGCGGGAAATTTTGATGTACCGCCACAAAACACGAATTCGCTGTAACTTGAGTGTACATTGTCCAATCGGCTCCAAACTTCACGTAGTGGCAACAGGAAGTAAGTGCTGCGTGGCGATTTTGAGCTGATTTGCGTGACATTTTCATGTTGTGGTCCGTGTTGTGTGTTACGACGGCACGCGACGTGGCTGCAGCACACCCCAGCAGCATGTGACGCGGCCGCAGCACACCCCGACGCGCGCCGGTTGCGAGATCCCGTTCAACGCTGCTTGCAGCTTTAATTTAGTTTGTTATTTTAACTGGTGAATGAGCCTCCTACAGAGTAAGTATTTGACACTGCTCTTTGCTGGTTATATTAAATAATGATATTAGCATTGTAGCCCTGACACAGATTCTTGATATCTGCTCGGGATATCTCTAAAATGTGCTGTTTCTGTGCCAAAAAAATGTTTCAGCAGATAATCTCCCCCTTAGTGGTGAAATAAATAAATCAGATTTGCTGAAACTTTCACTATGTCCTGACAGCGGCACATAAAACAGATAAATACAATATGTAACACGAACTCAATATCAAAAGAAACATTGTGTCAGAGGGCTTTATCCATACTGTCCACTTCTATAAGGTGTGTTTGGATGTTTTGCTACTAACCAATTGGGATGGAGGAGATCTGAGTGTAGATATCCAACATACGGTTGCTGTCCACATCCACCAAGTAGTTCCCCCTGCTCTCCTCATAGTTACAGAAGAAGTTGATTGCACCAACATTCTGGGAAGAGACATGCTCCACATAAGAACAGCATATCTCATATATTAACTCAGCAGTAGACAATAGGGGCTAGTTACTCAAAAATAAAAATAAAAATGTACTCTTTACTCTTTTCAAAAGTTATGTTATTACTTTACTTATTACTCAATGCCAACAGTAATTAGTTACACTATTAGTTATATTACTTTACTGCTACACCCCACAACATTGGTAATAGTGCCCCTTCACCCTAAAATTTGGACTTATGACAATCAAAACTGGGTTTTAATTGTTTATACCAAAGTAATGTTACCATTTCCAGCTACTGAATATAAGCATTTCCATCTTCCAAAATAGTTTCCTCCACGATTACAAAAATGAATCCATGGATGTGACAGGATTGTTGGATTCCAAATTAGTTGAGGGGTGACAAAAGGTTGTATCTTATAATATTTTGGGGGTTAACTGTAATATTATTACTGAAATGTATTAATAAATAGTTACACTACTAGTTACTGTGGAAAGAAATGAAAAAAAAAAAACTGGTCAGTCCCAGCAAAACTCCCAAACTGTCTTGTATCCTGTTTAGTTATTCAACTACTGCTGGATGCGATTACTGTCCACAGCCTCACAACAATCATCTCCTAATAGTGACTGATTTAATTTATTTGAAGATTAGAAATACAAATCAAACTGTCAAACCAGTTTTCTTCATCTTTTCACAAGCATTTTTTAGTGTACTGTGTAGTTGTAAGACCAGAACATGTGACCAGGTAGGGCCACAATTGTTTCCTGCTATGTACAAGTCAAAACTGCATAGCCAATGAGCGCAGCTCAACTCACAGTCATCCCCTCTGCTGGCTCCCAAAGATAGACATGGCGACACCCATAATGCCAAACTTGAGATTTTGTTTCTTGGCGTGAAAAGGCTCAATAAAACACTTCACAGCTTAAAACAAAAGATGTGTTTAATCTTCAGACTTTAATCTTCCCACAGCTTCCCAGGGCAGTGTTGTCAAGGGTCAGACAGTGGACTTGGTAACCAATTATAAATACCTAGGCAGATTGATTAACAAACTGAAATTTAATTCTAATACTAAAATGTTGCGCAAGAAGGGCCTTTTTTCCTAAGGACCTTGCTAAATCCAGATTGATAAGACCTTAATGGCACTGTTCAATAGAGCATTTATTGAGTCTGTTATCAATTTTTTATTATCTACTGGCAACCTTGGTACTAAAGAGAAGACAGTGAAGGTGGCCAATAAGACTGTGGGAATACAGTTCAGCAATTTAAATCTCATATTCACCAAGCAGGTGCTTTTTTTGGCCTTTTATTGCCTTTATTCAATAGAGACAGCTGAAGATAGACAGGAAAGGTGGGTAGAGAAGGTGGGGATGACACGCAGTAAAGGGCCTCAAGTCGGAGAGAGAGAGAGAGAGAGAGAGACGTATTTATTTGATTGGAAACAGCATCATAGACGAATGTCTTAACTTCCCCAATACTGACAGCAGAACCAAGCTTATCTATAGTAATAACAGGCACGTTATAGTCTTTATAATGCTTAATAAAATTCCTGCTATGCAGAGAGAAAACAAAAGTTGATTTAAATTCAACTGGAGCAGAATCTTAACACTCTTGGGAGCAAATTCAGAACTAATGGACTGCAGCCGCTGATATGAGCATTGTGAACTGCGCTTGTTTTCAACTGCTATCTGTGTTTTTTTTATGGTTTGTTTTATATTAGTTTTTTTTTTGCAACAAGGTTTGTTTGCATAGAACAAGGGCAATTGTGCAAATGTATGCATATTACCTTATTCAAAAAGGTGCAAATAGCACAGGAGCACTAAGGCGTAGTTTGCTTGGCAGTGTAGTTATTATCATCTGTACCTCAAAGAACACACACGAACAATTTCAACTTACCTGAATCTCTCCCAGCTGTTTTGTCAGCTCCTACAGATTGAAAAAAAGTTATAGTCAGTAATACCTGAGGAATGGATAGAGTGTACTGATTTGTGTGTCTATGAGTGAGTGTGTGTGTGTGTGTGTGTGTGTGTGTGTGTGTGTGTGTGTGTGTGTGTGTGTGTGTGTGTGTGTGTGTGTGTGTGTGCGCTCGCGCTCGCGCGCGCATATATCTGTGTATTACTTGTGATCGTGGTCCAGGGACTGAAGTTTTCATGGAAGGTCCATCGTAGTCAAACTCCAGCTGGGTCTTCCGTGCTGCCTTGCTGACATATCTGCATGCTGGTGAAGACATCAAAACAACAACCAAAAAAAGATAATAAATAATCTACGACAAGATAGATTAGAGCTTTATTTATCCTGAGGGAAATTGTTGTGGAGCAGGTGAAAGTATAAAAATATACCAATTAGATTTCCAAAGCCTCTATAATGGAGTGGACCGCTAGGAGTTGTGGTCAGAAGGTTGTCGATGCTTGACGTGCCAGCAACCTAAGGCGGCGGCCACCAAGCTGAAGAAGGAGGCCTTTCATTCTTGGCTGGCCCAGGAGTTATAAAAAGGGGGATGGGAGGATATGCTCCTATTATCTTATTATTGTGTTGTCATCACCCACCATAACAGCTGCTACTATTTATCTTTATTTATCTAAAGTTCAAGTATTATGGATTCAATTTTTTTTTCAATTTCAATTTTATTTGTATAGCGCCAATTCATAACAGAAGTTATCTCAGTAAACTTTTCAAATGGAGCAGGTCTAGACCGAACTCCTTATAACATTTACAGACACACAACAGTACCACCATGAGCAAGCAGTTGGCGACGGGGGCCTGTTAAGAGGCAGAAACCTAGGACAGACCCTTCGGCTTTAGGTGGGTGGTCGTCTGCCTCGACCAGTTGGGGAGGGAGGGGGAGGGAGAGAGAGAGAGAGAGAGAGAGAGAGAGAGAGAGAGAGAGAGAGAGAGAGAAACTACACTAATAGTAGTGACTGATGATGATGAACATGAAGAAGATGATGAAGACGACAACACCAACGATGGGGGATAATGAGCAGTGACAATAGTAATAATAGTAACTGCAGTAATAATAATAATAATATTAATAATAATAATAACAACAATAATATCAGTGATATTAGCAATGGCAGTCAAGCAGGACCATGGCAGGAGGCTCCACCAGGATCCATGAGAACCTCCGAGACGAGAAAGCACAAGAACTCCGGGGAAGAAGTAAAGTTAGTAACATGCATTAGTGGGACATAAATGGGTGCAGAAAGAGAGAAAGGAAGAGAGGAGCTCAGTGCACCATGGGAAATCCCCCGATAGTCTAGGCCTATAGCAGCATAACTAAGGGATGGTTCAGGATTCACCTGATCCAGCCCTAACTATACGCTTTATCAAAGAGGAACGTCTTAAGCCTACTCTTGAATGTGGAGAGGGTGTCTGCCTCCTGAACCACAACTGGAAGCTGGTTCAACAGGAGAGGAGCTTGGTAACTGAAGGCTCTGGCTCCTGTTCTACTTTCTGAGACTATAGGAACCACAAGTAGCCCTGCATTGTTTTAGTGAGGTAATAGGGTGCTATGAGCTTTTTAAGATATGAAGGGGCCTGACCATGAAGAGCTTTGTAGGTGAGGATGAGGATTTTAAATTCTATTCTAAATTTTACAGGGAGCCAGTGCAGAGAAGCTAGTATAGGAGAGATGTGATCTCTTTTCCTAGTTCCTGTCAGTACTCGTTCTGCAGCGTTTTGAATTAATTGGAGCGTCTTAATGGACTTATTGGGGCAGCCTGATAATAAAGAGTTGCAGTAATCCAGCCTAGAAGTAACAAATGCATGGATTAGTTTTTCTGCATCTGTCTGAGATAGGATGTGTCTAGTTTTTGTAATATTACGTAAATGAAAAAAGTCATGGAGATTTGCTTTATGTGGGAATTAAATGACATGTCCTGATCAAAGATAACTCCAAGATTCCTGACAGTGCTGCTAAAGGCCAAGGTAATGCCATCTAGAGTAGCTATATCTTTAGACAGTGAGTCTCTAAGGTTTTTGGGGCCAAGTACAGTGAGTTTAACATCAGAAAATTGCAGCTCATCCAGGATTTTATGTCCTTAAGACATGTTTGTAATTGTCTGCGGCGTGGTGTCAAATGTGTGACACACATGAATTTGCTGTAACTTGAATCTACATTGTCCAATTGGCACCAAACTTCAATTGTCTGATAAGAGTACTGCCTTGAACACACCTATGTGATAATATTCAGAAAAAGTGGTAGCACCACCTGGTGGTAACCAGAAGTGTGATCAGCAGATTGACCAGATCCAGCTGAAACTCTTTCAGAAGTCTGTTAAGATGATGACGATGACATCTTATAAATCTTAGGAATTTATGCTGAACCACATTGCCAAATTCAGTCGTGGCAAATGCTAACCTATTGTCTTGGTCCCATAGATGGGCGTCACAAAATGGCTTAGCCACGCACCCCCAGAATCAGCCCCCAAGACATGTATGACCGACATGTACAAAAATTGGAACGCATGTGTATCATGATCAGACAAGCAAAAAAGCATCTTAGAGCCATACTCCAAACCCGACAAGAAGTCAGCCATTTTGAATCTGTGGTTATTTTCCTTGTATTTGAACTCCTCCTCCTAGGGAATTTATCGGATCTACTTCAAAATTGGTCAGTACAGTCAAAAAACATTGCTGATTAAATATTGTGCTATTTGTGACTGTCATTGAAGGGCATGCCCGTGGATTTCCGTCAAAGTCGGCCATTTTGAATTTACAGTGATTTTCAGCGTTTTTTTTGCATTGTATTTGAACGAACTCCTCCTAGGGAAAAAATTGGTCAGTATATAAAGCTAATGTTATGTGTCCCCCAGTAAACATATCACTGAGAGATGAAGCACAGAGCAGCCTGAGTACATCAGAAGGAAAACCAGATAATAAATTCTCCATGAAATATCATCCACTTTCACCAAATCAGTAAATAAAGTTTAAAGTTGTGTGTTTGCACCACTGACAGTAACTCATATATAGGATTTGTACAGTAATCAGTGAGGCCCCAAACAGGCTGACCTATTAATGATTGACAGGAGAGGACCTTTGAGACACCACAGAGCCATAGGCCTCTGAGAAGCGTATGACAAACACATCCTGAGGTCAGTCAAACATTTACACTGATTACATAATGTTGCTCTAATTTCACTGAAACATAGTTGCATTATGTTTATTCCTGAGAACATCAAAAGTATTATGATTTCATGCTTAGTGGTGATTTTTGAGTTATAATTTATTTAAAAAATGACGAATATTCAAGTAAACTAGTAAGTAAAAACTGCTATCTTTAACAATGTCCTTAATCTAGTTAAGGATACACACTATTCTACTAACATTTCTGCTGCAAAGATACATTTGTAGCAAAGCAACATGTGGTGAAACACTACACACTAACTGGATTTAAAATCATTTTGATTTGAATAGAAGAGAAGAGAGTGTTGGATTTACCTGGAGCACCGAGCCACAAGTTTTTCTGCAGGGAGAGAGCAAACTGACGGCTGATCAAGGAGGATGCCATGATAAAACTGTCAGCAAAAGTACTAGAGAGAGGCAGCAACTGCCCTCGGGGTCTAACTTCACCAAGTCACCTACAGAAAGAGAGAGAGAGAATCAGGGAGTGGAAATTAATGACAATTATCTATTTAAGCGGAGAAGAGAACGCCCAGATTGACTATCTCATAATATATTTTTACATTCTTTACTCAAACATAATGTCACTATTGGCGTCACTATTTAGAGGCCCAACATGCATTTGTAAATTACTCATATTCACTTTATTTCCTAAGCAAGGGAAGAGGATAGAGAAAGAGAGCAAGTGAGAAAGCCAATTGAGGTTGTTTGCCAATTTTACTGATCATTATTTTTGCAGTCTACACTGCGCGTTCTGTAAATTTTCAATCAAAAGCGCATTCATGCCCTTTAACTTATTTGTCCCTTCTTCAGTCCTACCCCTTTTCACACTGTTTAAAATAACAATTAAGCAAACTAGGTAACTGGTGGAACCTCAGTCAACTTTCTCCTTTTCTGTACTTAGACATGCTATGTACTAAGAACAGACAACCACGTTTTGAAGACAGTTAAAATATGAAAGAGACATTTCCTGCTAACAGAATAAATGCAGGAGAAAATTGGCAGAGTGCGGCAAAGAAAGGCATGGCGCTCTGCTCTTTCATCTTCCAAGTCCTTATGTAATACAGGCAGCAGGAACAGGAAAATTCCGGCTATCTGCTTTCACACAGCAAAGGAAACCTTGGCACTACACACACACACACACACACACACACACACACACACACACACACACACACACACACACACACACACACACACACACACACACACACACACACACACACACACACACACACACACACACACACAGCCTGTTTCTTGGCAACACCTCTCGAACTGGATGAAACTGGTTTAGAGGGTGAGAGTTACACAAGACTGCATCTTCATATGGCCAGGAGGGGAGGGGTGGGTAATGTGAGGGGTGTGTAAAACAAAACAACAAAGTGATGGAGGACGGCTGAAAGAACACAACGAGTTTGAACTGGGATAAGCTGGAATCTGAACACAAAGATAATAATGCCTAATGGAACACTGGAGCTGGATTGCTGATGCTGTGTTGGAGGTTTCAGTGATCCTAATCTTAGATACCTTGTCATGTAAAAGAATTTTGAGAAGATCTGATGTACAGTGACGATGGGAAGGTTTGCCTTGTATGGCTATTGAGACATAGGGCTGGGTTATGTTGGAAAAGTAACAGTTAAAATGCAAACGTGTCTATAGTAACTGAAAAATGTCGTTATTGATCCAAAGGCATGATATAGCTGAGGAAAATGACCTGGTAGGACAATATATATTCAACCAGGTTACAAGTAGGGATGTAAGAAAAAACATAATTATACCACGATATTTTGTTTTGTGATATTGTATTGTTTCTCAAAAACACTGTATTGATTTTTGTGTTTAAACCCCCAACCGCCAGATGGCAATGTTGTACACTTAAACTGAGTGCTATGATGTTGGATGTTACAGGGACTGTGATAAATACAAATGGACATACCAATATCTGCTCAAAATTGTTAACTGGGGAACAGAGCCCCAGTGATCAGCAGTCTTCAGGTTTAAGACCGGCCTCAGTTGAAAGTAGGAAAATCCAGATTGGGAGAGGTCTTATATTACGGTACACAACATCAACACTGCTAGAGTGACAGGCTTGACTGAGGCTGAAGTCTTGACAGAGATCTGAGTCACATTATTTGGATTACGAGCCCACTGACAGTGTTTAATATGTTTTGTTAGTTTGTTGTTAATTATGACAAACATTTGATAGACAGGAGGACTACGAGGCTTTATAAGAGAAATAGAAGTGATAAATTCAAATTTAGTGTCTGGTAGAGACCAGACACTAAATTTGAATTTATCATTATTTTTTTTTTATTGTAGAGACAAGCAGTTCAACACCAGGCCAAAAATGCCATACATTGGATAAGGTGAGACGTCAGTTTCTTAACTCCCTCACGGTTTGGGAAAACACCATCTTTTTTGTAAAGATTCCTCTCATGCCAGAAAGAGCCAAAATTTTTGATGAACCCATGGCCTGTAGCAATACAGAAATTCATTAACCAGTCCTGCAGACTGATAAGACAACTGAAGTGCACTGAGCGTTTTTCTGGAAATGGGATGAGGCCAGACAGAATACAGTTACACTTTCTATAGTTAGTATGACTTTTGAAATAGCCTACAGTCATCAGAAAAGAAAGTGTGGGTTTTTTTGCTTTTGCTGTCGTCCCAGGTGGAGAGGAAGAGAGCCGGATAGGAACAATGCCGGCCTGGCTTGAAGTTATGGCTGCTCCTGGCTAATTTCCGGTGTGGACAAAATGGGACTCTCAAACCCTCGACAGGCGAATTGCGTCCTGAGCCAACAGAGCGCCAAATCTGTCACCACGGGAATAGCACAGGCACAAATGACAAGAAAGAAACAAAAGTTTGTGTGTGCCTTGAATTTTAGAGTAGATTACTGCCATCACTGAATATTCTGTGTTGATTTATCTATTAACTGTAGTCTCCTGTACAGAGCTCATGACCATATATTGGTAGCAACAATGTCCATCCAACCCAATAAAAGTGCCACTGAGTAGTAGCCTATTTGTCTTTTCTGTCTTTCAAGTTCATTGAAAAGGGCCACAGAAATTACATATTTAGGGTGGCCGTGTCTCACAGATAGAGTGGGTCATCCACTAATTAGAAGGTTGTTTGTTCGGCTCCTCCCTGCTGTGTGTCAAAGTATCCTTGGGCAAGATACTGAACCCCAAATTGCTCCCGCTGCTGTGTAATTAGTGTGTGTAAATGTGAATGTGAGTTAGTTTCTGTTCGATGGACTTTGCCATCACTGTGTGTGAAAAGGTGAATGTAGCATGTAGTATAAAAGCGCTTTGAGTGGTCGGAAGACTAGGAAGGTGCTATTTACCATTACCATTTACATTTATTGTACAGAAGAAGCAAAGGAAGAAACAAACGAGCAAAACAGTTAGGTGGAATGTGATTATACACTAGTTGTGCAACCTCAGAATTAAAATGATTAAATAATTTGATAAAGAAAATATAAGAGAAAAAAATAAAATAAATAAAAAAGATTCTGAGAAACAAAATAAAATGTTTTCTCTTCTTGTGAGAAAATTATATCATGTATCGTTACATCCCCACAAACAATATTATATGATCATCATAGTCAACCACAGGGCCACTGCCACAATCGCGCATGACCTCACATCATCACATTATGTTCAGTATTTGTTTTTTTATGACGAGAAAGCAACCCAGAGTGGCAAGGCTGAAGAGACTCAGGAAAAACTTCCAAATGGAAACAACAGCAATCTTGTAGCAGAAAAGCAGACCAAACCAGTTTACTCTTGTATGGTGTGTTAATGTTTATGGCTGCTTTAATGAGCAGTCCAAGTGTAGAGCTCTGCTGACTGATAATGCAGCTCCATGAAAAGTCTGTGAGTGACTTGCAGCTGCCAAGCTGCCAATTATTGGGGTTATTTAGTAAGTGTCTCTGTGTGCATGTGTTTGTTCCCTGGAATTACGTACTATGTAAATAAAATGTAGCTTGTGTGCTTTTTTTCTTAAAACTGGTCTGGGACAGTCAGATCTGCTATCCTGTCCTCTAATGACCTGAAATTGAATTGACAAAAAGACTGTTGCGTAATCACAGCTGTAGTGTGGTGTCATCGAACACTTTTTTTTATTATCAAATGACTCCTTGTTGCCATTATTAGGGCCAGAGCACTGACCAGCGCAATGACCCATTGTATCTGTAGGAATTCTCCGTTATTATTTTTCTGCCCCTTCAATCGCAATTTTGGAGGCTTTCCCATACCCAAATGGCTAAGCCACGCCCCCCTGAAACAGCCCCTAAGTCATGAATGACTGAAAATTGGTACGCATGTGTATCATAATCAGACAAGCAAAAAAGCCTCTTTGAGCTATACCCCAAACCCAACAGGAAGTTGGCCATTTTGGATTTAGCTGGCATTTTTGCTGTTGCATTTTCCTGAACTCCTCCTAGGGAAGTGCTCGGATCGACTTCACATTTGGACACTGCAATCTAAAGACATTCACGATTAAAAATTGTGCTGTTTGTGACCGTGGCGTGACGTCCAATTTCGATGACTTGCCATGAAAAAGGAAGTTGTCAAAACTTCAGTGTACATGATCCAATCTCAACGAAACTTCACACGTTTGAGTCATGCCCTGAACACGTCTAAATGATAATATTCAGATATAGTGATAGTGCTCCCCTACTGGCAACAGGAAATATCGTGTTTTATACTTTTATGCTCTACTCCTAGCATATTAATCAGATCCAGCTAAAATGTGGTCAGAAAATGCAAAACATATTGTTGATGATATGTGATGAATGTTGGTGAGTTGTCATTGAAGGGCATGTCTGCTGCGTGACGTCAAACGGGACACACATGAATTTGCTATAATTTGAGTCTTGTCTGATAAGAGTCCTGCCATGAACACATCTATGCGATAATATTCATTAATAGTGATAGTGGTAGTGATAGTGGAGAAAGGAAATGTCATTTTTATACTTTTATGCATTTCTCCCAGCAGACTGACCAGATCCAGCTGAAATTCTCTCAGAAGTCTCTTAAGATGATGATGATGACATCTTATGAATCTTACCAATTTTCGCTGAACAAATCAGAGGTTGTGTGTTTTATTATTATTTCAATGTTTCTCTTTTACATTGTTTTGCCTATACAGAATAGCTATATGCTTTTGTTTATTTGTTAACTTTATTTATTAATTGTATTAGCTCTATGAATATCTTACTCTAAATGGTAAAAGGACTGTACTTGTATAGCGCCTTTGTAGTCTTCCGACCACTCAAAGCACTTTTACACTACATGCCACATTTACCCTTTCACACAGTGATGGTAAAGCCCATCGAACAGAAACTAACTCATTCATTCACACACAGCGTCGGGAGCAATTTGGAGTTCAGTATCTTGCTCAAGGATACTTAGACATGGGGCAGGGGATCGAACCAACCTTCCGATTAGTGGAAGGCTCTACCTCTGAGCCACAGCCGCCAAACTGAACCTGAATGGTAGGACAAAAGCCAACACCTAATAGGGTTAAACGAAATACCAGCTATCGCCTTGTAGCTGTTTTTTTTGGCCGGATTTTGGGCAAATTCTGTTCAGTCTAGCTCTGTGGAAGATGAGGACATAGTAGGGGCTGGCTGGGAAGGAGAGTGACAGGCCAGGAGAGGAGAGGTGTTAGAGGAACAATGGAGGTTGCGGGCATTAGAAAGGCAGGGACAGCGCGTTGAGCCAGAATATTTTCACATTTAACCAGACTCAGAGTTGGTGATTGTTGGAACCACACGTAACATTAGGCTGCATATTACACATAAAAGACATACTGCCAAACTGTCTTTAGTCTTCCGACCACTCAAAGCACTTTTACACACGTTCACACAGTGATGTCCATCGAACAGAAACTAATTTGTGCACATTTGCGCACCGACGACACAGAATCAGGAGAAATGCTCAAGGACACTTCGACATGCAGCCAGAAGAGCCAGGGATCAAACCAACAACCTTCCCATTAGTGGACGCCCTGCTCCACCTCTGAGCCACAGTGGCCCCAAACATTACATAGTCCTCAACCTAGTGAAGTGTCACGAGTGTATCACGCAGGCACTGTGACCGCACTGTGACCGCTCTAATCTTATCTGTTTACATGGGCGGTTATAAAAATCATGACGTTCAGCCACGCAGACGCGGGCGGTGCGAGCAAACTGCAACTTCTCTTGTCTTTAAAGAACTTGTCAACTATTGTCATAGTTATTGTTCTTGGTGTGGACAGCCCTTTGCAGAGGCACTTCCTCAAGAAGAACTGCACCCTACTGGCTTGGACCCACTACCTGCATGAGCAGTGCATGACAGCTACTTTACCTGTGGTAATGTGTCTACAAAGCTCCACTGTTTCTGCTCCATTAATTCATACTTTGTATGAATTAATGTTAAAATCTAAAGCAGCATGTTACTGGCTAAAATAACCATATATTAGTTTGTAATGTGCATTGAATAATGGAAATATGTGATTTTCTTTGTTCTGATATCTGCATTACATATTGGCCATCGGTTGCCCTGCTTTATAGTTATTTGCATTGGGCATTAAAAACCCATATCGGTCAACCACTAGTGAAGGGTAATATCAACTACATTCAGTATTCCCTGGTATGCTTTAATTTTGTGGGAGCAATAATTTTATAAGAGCACGGATCAGGCTGTATGCTTTATGAAAGCCAAAGTATGTTTATTAAGTTTTCTGATACTGATACTTTAGCACATTGCCTTCCTTGACTAGCTGATTTCAAAATAAAAGTCAACTCGTATTTCGCCAATTAAATTATTTTAATGTGTAGCTGCAGCAGTAGGAAATGTTCAGTTCTTATTAGCAGTAACATAATACAGCATTTTTTCTGGAAATAAAAGTATCCAGGCTGCAGCTGCAGGATGCATGCAACAGAACAGTCCCCCAAAAGTGAAACCAAACATCTTGATCACCCCTGGTGGCTGGCTGTCAGTTTAAGAAGCACTTGATTTGATACGCCACAGATTTTCTATGAGCCGATTTTAAAAGTCAATATAGTGGACGATGACTTTCATTTAATTGTGGAAATCGTAATCAAGATTAATATTAAATTAATTGTGCAGCCGCTATAGTCAACTCTCCGCTGTCTGCCTCGCCTCCGCTTAGCTCCATGAGAGAAACGACTCAGCAGCAACCACACTCTTCTGTGATTCCGATATATAAAATATTGATTAACTGTGCAACCCTAGTCAGCACCACACTAAACTTATATTGGCAGTACCTGTGGTAGAAATGCGGGAAACATAGATCTCATGTTTAATGCATTTCTTCGTCATCTGTGATGTAAAAACAACATATTTCCACACAGTCAAAGTAAAGTTCAGAGAAAGTAAAAGTGTACAGCCTTCATAGTTCAGATATAAAATTTGAGTGAACCACAGAGCATCTCTGCTGCCGGGCAGCTGACAGCGCTGTCAGTTCAACAGTCATTCACAGAGTACATCAGTAGAGGAGATTGTGCTACCATCTTCACTCACAGTTAGCACTGGAGCAGAGGGCGTCAGAGCAGCCGCTGTCCAGTGTCATGCTGCCCTTCATTAACTATCACTCTTTTCCGCTTCAATCACAGTTTTGTGGTTTGTAGGCATTTTAGAATTTGGGTTTGTAAAGTTTACAAGCTGCCATGCTGTTGTTCTGTGTACAGTGACATAGCTAAAAATCTGAAGTGCAGATTCGACTGACAAAAATGCAAGTTGACTCTGGGTCTTCCCGACTGATAATTACATTTTTGGGGGCAGCCCTACCTGAAGCAACAAACACTGAAGGAAACTTACAAACGGCAAGAGAAAGTCCCTTTGGACAGCGACAAAGCCACATTTGTTTAATTTTACAGCCTACTTTGCTATTTTGTAAAAGAAAAAAAACCATTAGGGAGCAGCTTGGATGCAGGTCATTTCCTAGGCAAAATCCTAATGCAATGCAGAGCTATTAAAATGTCAGCTTATGCATTTCAATAACTTTAATATACTTGAAGTGTGCACTGTGTATTTGTATTAACTTCGAAAATACAAGTATCTGATAGGGATTCTGTGTCAGCAGATACTCAATATTAAATTACTTAGATTAGGGGAATAAAACTTGATGGAGACATCCCTAAGCTGCAGAACAGTCCATGATTTTAACAGCCTTAAAGATCCAGTGTGTAGGATTTTCTGTCATCTAGCAGTGTAATTGCAAATTTACTGTAAAACAGCAGATACATTTTTTTCGAGTGTCACAACCCGCACGAATCATCAGAATTTGATCCATTCAGTCTAGAATCTCCATTCAAATTAACTAAGGGTTGAACCGGAAATGTGCCACGGTGGCCTGTAGAACATGCAAAACATAATGATTCCTATATTCAGGTAATCATAAACTAATTAAAATATATTAATATTATATTTCTTTTGGACATTTGGATATGGTCAGAACCTGTTTTAGCCTTTATCCAAAAACGACTTATATACTATAATGTAACCTACTATACCAGATCAGTCATAGGAAGATAGAAACCATGGTTTGCATAATGATTTTTTTGTTTAGAGTTTGCTTGGAGCATTTGACCGCCCCCGACCCCAAGGAAAATATTTCTAGAACCGAAGTGTTGCCTTCTAAAAAAAACTGGTTCCGACTAGATCTGACTGGCTCACGGTCAGTATGTTATGTATTATTATCGGTTGGTTGCGACCATTAATACGTTATGTAAGGTCGAGACCGATCTTCGTCAACTGCTTTCCTGTCATGAACGCTGTAGACTGCTGCGCATACCGAAGCTTTGACGGTTCAACTGCAAAAACCCTCGCCGTCGAAGTCAATGCGACATAGCCGCGTCTGATCCCAGTAGCTCTCGCCACAGACCCGGTTGTTCAGAAACACTTACCGAGGATCCAGCGACGGCAGCAGATCCCGGCACCACAGGATAGGCTACAGTTCAACGGCAGCAAAAACTATGTCTAGCTCCGGTATTTATCAGGCAGGCCTGGTTCTCTACAGAAGGCGGGGCTTGTTTTCTCTCTCTCTCTCTCTCTCTCTCTCTCTCTCTCTCTCTCTCATCCAAATCTTTTGATTTAGAAAACAGATTATGTTTAAATTACGTCCTATACTTTTAGGGTAGTAAATAAAACATCCAGCATTCTCCTGGGTGCAAAACTGTGATTAAGATTAGAAAAAACAATTACATCCACAGTATGGTAACAATCGCAACAATGTGGAATATCATCATGAAAACCAAACAAATAATAATTAATTCATCACGGAAGTAAACAAGACTAGACTGAACGAAGAAGAAGATCTATATGGACCTTTCTAGTCTTCCGAGCACTCAAAGCGCTTTTACATTATGCGCCACATTCAGCCTTCACACACATTCACACATGGCAAAGCCCATGGCACAGAAACTAATGCATTCATAAATATTCACACGCATAAACGGCAGCGGTATCTTGCTCAAGGATGCTTCGTCGTGTGGCACCCACAGAAGCTGGGGAACAATTGTCCGTATGAGAAGGGGAAGAAGAAGGGGAGGGGGGAAGAAACAGAGGCGACGCGAGTTCAAATCCCGTTTGTGGCAAATGTTTATGAGTTAAGATCCAAGTTCAAATCAATACTACGCGATTACTGTTATAACTATAACAATAAACGCACAGCGATTGTTTTTCATGGCTGTAAAGTACCTGAAGTCAATCACAAGGTGTCAGTTGTGTGTAGCCTGATATTTCATCCTATGCTGACATTATGTCATCGTTTTATGTTCAGTGACTTCAATGACAGCTCTAACACTTTTGTATGGTGTTATGGCTGAACATACATTGTTGTATACATACTTCCTTCGATTATTCTATTGCTATTATTCCTATTTTATTGAATTTCATTTTCTATTACTTTTTTGTGATATTTATAAGTAGAGACTACTGTGCGGTCTAGACCTGCTCTATATGAAAAGTGTCATGAGATAACTTCTGTTGTGATTTGGCGCTATATAAATAAAATTGACTCGACTTGTAAACCAGTTAAATTCCTTGTATGCAGAAGCAGGCTTTGGCCATTAAAGTTGATTCTGAATCTGAACAAGACATCACCTCCTTCAACCTAAGTATTTTTTCCCCGAGATATGGCCTTTTACCCAAGAAGAGACATGGCACTCCAGTCAGTATAATCTCAGTAGGCTGCTTTATTTTAGTGAGATATTTTAGAGATATCACAAAACCAGACTTTTAGTAGTTAATACCAATACAGTAAAATTCCACACCACAGCAAACAATTGATACATTAATACAACTTTATAACAATATGAAACAAATAAAAGAAAGACAATCTTGTGAAGTTGTGCCATGTGAAGCTTTAAAAAAACAAACTTTTGTGTTAATATATATGTATATATATATATATAAACATACAACACAAAAGTTTCCCAAAATATTCACATTAATATCAAAAGTTCAAACTTTAGTATGCCTATTAAAACAGTACACATAAGAATCATCATAGGCAAACATAACACCAAGAACAGGCAAATGTATCGTGAGTTCAGCGGTTTTAATTACTTTCTCATCCGCTCCAGCCACTGTTCTTTGTTGACAGTCTCAGTGTTTGGGCAATATATTTTGCCCTTGTATTGGCTATGGCCAGTCTCTTGTGTGCGAAACTGTCCTCACTTCCTGCAAGAATTAGATGTGACCACCCAATTGTATTTGCGTTTTACTTGTGCAGATTTGTCACTGGCAGGACTGTCAAGAGGTAGTGCTGGTGGTTGCGCTCGCACTTGCTCCAAGGATAGGACTGGGCAGCATCAACAACTGCGGCACGACACCAGGTACAACAAACAGCTGTGGCTGTGACAGAGCTAAGGTACCTGGAAGCTGCACTGAAGGAGTTGATGGTGGGATCTGGGTGGAATGAGACTGAAGGCGGTGGAGTGATGGCTCTGTGGAGGTAACTGAAGGCTTGATCCGCCGAAACCTGGTTTTTGCCTGACCAGCTGTGTTGGGTGGCATGTGATATGTGTGCAGCTGATGTTGATTTTGTGGAGGAAACTCAGGCTGTGTCTTCGCAGGTTGCAGTGGTATACCTCCCACCGGCCGTGCCTCAGGCAGTTGCACCCCTTGCAGAAGCACAGAGACCTCCTGACCCTTCAGCCGTTGGTTATACCACTGGGTGAGGGTGGTCTGGTTTACCTCAACCAGTTGAATGGTGGTTTGCTGCATTATTATGCCATTGCACAAAATCAGCTGCCTAATTTTTTTGTAGTCCTGCAGAATAAGAGACCATCTTGACATGCTGTGCTGTCCCATTTTTTGGGGGCTTGTGTGAATGTTGCACAGCCTCACAAATACAGTCTCAACAAGACGGCAGCAGTAAGGCCACTAAACAGGCGAGCCCAAAACACACCTCTCAACACCAGGAGTGAAAACTGCCTTCTTTTTGGGGGACCTAAAGCGGCCAGTCAACAACCTGTCCTGATGCCGAGCAGCATACACAACCCTGTCCTTGTCAAATTGTTCCAGGTTCTGTCACAGACCCACAATGGTGCTGGCCTGCTGGTTGGTCAGTGTTAGGCCCGTCTGTGTACGCTGCTCTACCACTGCCTCTGCCAATTCGTCCACACGGTCCAGATTCCAGAATGGCGCCGGCGACAACGGCAGCCTCTCATTGCAGCTCCTATCATTGTTGTAGTTTTAGTGTGTTTTCAGTGTTTTTAGCCTGTGTTTTTTTGCTATTTTTAACTGTTTTCTTGCTTTCTTACTTTCTTGTTATTTTGTTCGCGTCGCCTAGATACTTTTTCAGCGTTTTTGAGCACTTTTTATTTTTTGTTTACGCTGGTCTCCATGGCGACGGAGAGTCGCATTGTTTACACCCGCGACCACATGATCGCCCTGGGGTACCCGAGCATCCTGACTGGAGAAAGACCCTCCATACCGGAGGAGCTGAGGAGGAGACGGCGAGGCTGCAGAGCGGGGGATGAAGAGGAGGAGGCTTAAACCCTACATTCCTGCAATCATCGAGCAGATACCGGACTCCAACGTCACCCCCTGCTCTCCTCATCCCCGCTGGCGTGGGGTGAATCACCGCAACTTACGGCCTCTGTGTCGGGCTCCCCGGTCAGCCAATCCAGCGCTTTCACTGAACTTTTACCCCATGATTGCTGCTACTTTAACTCCCCGCGGATGTCGGGCCAAGGAGGAGGAATAGCGACCGTCTATAAGAGTCATTATAAATGTAAGCAGCTATTGCTGTCATCCTCTTTCACCAGATTTGAACTGAGCTTATTTGAGCTTGGTCGCTCTCACACAGTGTTGTGTGCTGTGGTCTATTGGCCTCCCAAGTACAATAAGGACTTTTTAAATGACCTCTGATTTCCTGGCTGAAATCATGCCTAAATATGACCGTGTTCTTATTGTTGGGGATTTTAATGTTCATGTGTGTTGTCCAGATAAGCCAATGGCAAAGGGTTTTTTAAACCTCATTGATTCTTTTAATCTTGTGCAATCTGTGTCTGGACCCACACAAGAACACGGACACACACTTGATCTTGTCTTATCATATGGTTTGCCCGTTTTTAACCTAGAGATATGTGACGCAGTGTTTTCTGACCATATGCCTGTATTATTTGAGGCTGCTCTTGCCTGTCATACAGTTAAACCTCGCGCTGCTGCTCGGTGCTGTCGCATTATTAACCCTTCCACTGCTGTTCAGTTCTCGGTTGCTTTCAATCAGAACTCCATCTTTCCTGAGTCTGTATGCAGTACAGAGGAGCTTAGCTCATGGTTTCACTCCACCTGCCAAACTGTTTTAGACACTGTGGCTCCATTAAAATCCAGGCAGCCTAAAACTAAATCTGAGCCCTGGCTAAATGACATGACTCATGCGGTCAGACGTGAGTGCCGTAGAGCTGAGCGCAAGTGGAAGAAGGACAAACTGCAGGTGTCTTTTCAAATGTTAGGGAACTGCTGGCGTCATTATCAAAAAACTGTGAAAGATGCTAAAAGAAAACATTTCTCAGATATGATCCTGTCAAACTGTCACAAGCCTCGTGTTTTGTTTAACACTATTGACTCACTTCTTAATGCCCCACAGACTGCCTGTATGGAGGCATCCCCTGCTGTGTGTGAAAACTTCCTTCACTTTTTTATTGATAAGGTCACTTCAATTAGGGCTCAAATCTCACCTTCAGTTTATGACCCCTCAATCTCTGTCCCCTGCTCTGCTGTCTTTGACCATTTTGAGCCTGTGACTTTTTCCTTTTTACAGGAGGTTGTTGGTCATTTGAAGCCCTCAGGTTCTCCAAATGATGCTGTCCCCCCTCGACTATTTAAGGAGGTTTTCCCCACTGTAGGACCATCTGTTATTGCAGTCATAAATAGCAGTCTGACCTCAGGTGTGGTCCCTGAAAATTTTAAACATGCAGTAGTACAACCTCTGATTAAAAAACCTGCTCTAGATCCTGCAGTTCTTGCTAATTTCAGGCCTATCTCCAAACTGCCTCTCCTTTCAAAAATCCTGGAGAAGATTGTGCACAGTCAATTAATGGCCTTTCTGGAAGAACATAATATTCTAGAGGTTTTCCAATCCGGTTTTAAAACCGTGCACAGCACAGGATCAGCTCTCTTAAGAGTTTTTAATGATATCTTTTTAGCTACTGACTCTGGTGACTGTGTTATCCTTGTGCTTTTAGATTTAACTGCTGCATTTGACACAGTGGATCATGAAATACTGATCTCACGTTTGAAGCAGTGGGTGGGCATCAGGGGCATAGCACTGGAGTGGTTCAGGTCGTACTTGGCTGATCGAACTTTCTGTGTCAGCCTAGGTGACTCTGTATCCTCCTCTGCTCCTCTCTCGTGTGGGGTCCCACAGGGCTCAGTTCTTGGCCCTCTCCTTTTCTCTCTCTATTTGCTCCCACTTGGTTCCATACTTAGGAAGCACGGCTTTTCATTCCACTGTTATGCAGACGACAGTCAGATTTATGTGCCTCTTAAAAAGAAAAGTGAATACTCTGTCAGACTGCTACTTAAGTGCCTTGACGACATAAAGGCCTGGATGACTCTGAACTTTTTAAATTTCAATGATAAATAGACAGAAGTGATGGTTTTTGGTGGCACCACAGGGATCCCCCCTGTAGATCTGGGTTCCTTGGCCCAGTATATTAAACCTAGCATCACAAACCTAGGGGTTAAAGTGGACCCTGAGCTTAAGTTTGACAGTCAGATCAAGGCTGTTGTCAAATCAAGCTTTTTCCATTTGAGGCAGCTGGCCAAAATAAAGCCAATTCTATCAAAGCAGCACTTTGAGACGGTAATTTGTTACCACTCGGCTGGATTACTGTAATGCACTATATGTGGGGGTTAGTGGGTCCTCCATCGCCCGTCTTCAGATGGTACAGAATGCTGCTGCACGTCTTTTAACTGGCACATGTAAACATGAGCACATTTCCCCCATTTTAGCCTCACTCCACTGGCTGCCTATTCAATTTAGGATCCATTTTAAAATTAAAGCTGCAAGCAGCGTTGAGCGGGACCCCCCCCCCCCCCAAACCCGGGGGGGGCGGCCCCCGCCCCCGCCCCCCCTAAAAAAACGGGGAAAAAAAAAAAAAAAAAAAAAAAAAAAAAAGAATATTTTTTTTATATTTTTGTATTTTGGTTAAATTTTTTTATTGTTTTTTATATTTTTTTTATTTAAAATATATTTATTTTATTTTTTATATTAGTATCTTATGGTACTTAAGCTGTGGTCTACGCCTCATTATGGGTTATCTGTGACAACTTCACTCCTATTACTTTTGGTTGCCAGGCACTGTTTTCCTTTTGGTGTGTATCCACGGTATATAAGTTTGGGCCTGTTTATCAAACACACCGTAACATCCAACTTTAAATGGTTTTATAGTGCTTATTTTGAATTTCAAATGTTATGTTTTGGGCGGCGTGTATACAGCTGTAACAAAGTAGTTTACTCAAAAAATTTGATGGAAAATTTTAAAAAAAAAAAAAAAAAAAAAAAAATTAGGGACCGAGCCAGCGACCGGCAAGGTCCCTATTGTTTTTGCTTCGTTTCTTATTATTATTTTTAGCCCCCATTGACTGCGATTTTGCCCCCCTGAACATATACGAAAAGTCAATTTTATTTGGCAAAGTATTCAGGTCTGGTGAAAATGGGGAGTTTACATGTGTCGCTTTTGGGTCTGCCACTAGGTGGCGCTACTATCATAAAAAATGCGTTTAGGCTAATAACTTCTGCATCGTTTGTCGCACATTCAAAAAACTTATATCCACGCGTTCGGTGAATGTAGCTGAATCTCCCCATATAAGCCCCGCCCACTTCCGCCTAGAATTTTTTTTTTCTAGAGCGCGAAATGTCCTTGAACTACTTTTTCGGGTTCCTCCTACACGCTTTGTCCGATTCGCACAAATATTTTCACCTAGCACCTGGGGACCGCCCTGGCAAAAAAAGTAATTGGAACCTTTTTGAAATTTAAAAAAATAAGCACGCTATAAAATTCCAACTTCCTGTAGATTTTTCGTCAAAAAAGGAAGTGGACCATTTCCCCACATTGGTATGTCCGATTGACACAAAACTTGGGTCCATAGTTCAACATGTCTTCCTTAAGCATCGTGCACAATTTCAGGCCATTGCCACTAGGTGGCGCTCTTTAAAATGAAGAACTTTATATCTCTACAACGGTATGTGTGATTAAGATGAAACTTGGTATGATGCTTCCCCCTGGCTCCCTTAGGCTCCCTTAAAAAGGAAAAACTAAATACGCCACTAGGTGGCGCTCTTTTGGCATGAAAAATCACTGTGCGAATACCGTAATAGTTATGAATATGAAATTCACAGGGCACGTGTAGAGTAGTGCCTGAAGCTCACATATCAAAAATCGTGTTCGTCATTTGTGTAGCGCCCCCTACAGGATAAAAAAACAGAAGCCCCGGCGCCACGTTTCACCGATATGTACGAAACTCGGTAGGCACGTGTAACATGCCGGGACGTACAAAAAAGCCTCTTGGACCCATACCCCAAACCCCACAGGAAGTCGGCCATTTTGATTTTCATTTTCACTTTCGGCGAACTTTTCGCGTTTTATTTGAACGAACTCCTCCTAGGGAATTTATCAGATCTGCCTCAAAATTTGTGAGTACAGTCATAAAATGGTGCTGATTAAAAGTTGTGCTATTTGTGCATGTACGTTGAAGGGCGTGTCCGTGGCGTGGCATCAAAGTCAGCCATTTTGATTTTTTGGGTCATTTTCTGTGATTTTTCGCGTTGTATTTGAACGAACTCCTCCTAGGCAATTTATTGGATCTACTTCAAATTTAATCAGCGCAATCTAAAGACATTCATGATTAAAAGTTGTGCTATTTACGACATTCCGTCAAACGGCGTGTCCGTGGCTTGGCATCAAAGTCAGCCATTTTAAATTCTGTGCTCATTTTCTGTGATTTTTCGCCTTGTATTTGAACGAACTCCTCCTAGGGAATTTATCGGATCTACTTCAGATTTAATCAGCGCAATCTAAAGACATTCATGATTAAAAGTTGTGCTATTTACGACATTCCGTCAAACGGCGTGCCCGTGGCGTTGCGTTGAATTTCGACCATTCACCATAAACATACTCAACTTCAGTGTACAGTCCCACCCTGAACACGTCCTCGTAACTTCAGCGTTCATGATCCAATCTCAATGAAACTTCACGTGTGTTACAACAGTCCCGCCCTGAACTTGTCTACATGACAATATTAAGATATAGCAATAGCGCCACCTTCAAGCAACAGCTGGTAAGCGCTGCGTGGCGATTTTGAGTTGATGTACGTGACATTTTCGTGTTGTGGTCCGCACGTGTTACGACGGCACGCGACGCGGCCGCAGCACGCCCGAGTTGCGTGGAGTGCGAGGTCCCGCTCAACGCTGCTTGCAGCTTTAATTTTATTTGCTTTTAAATCCCTAAATGGTCTTGCCCCGCCCTACCTATCTGAGCTTCTACACCCCTATATACCCGCCCGCTTTCAGGTCAGATGATCGGCTGCTCCTGAGTGTGCCTAAAACTAAGCGGAAGCTCAGAGGGGACCGTGCCTTTGCTGTGTCTGCTCCTAAATTATGGAATGATCTGCCTCTGCACATTAAACAGGCCTCTTCTCTGTCTGTTTTTAAAACCAGTCTTAAAACCCATCTCTTCTCTGTGGCCTTTGACACCTAGTAAGATGTCGACTTTATTTACTTGATTTATTTTTTGTATTTGTTATTTTTATTTTTTGATTGCTTGTTATTGCATGGTTATTATTTTTATTTATGTCTTTTCATTTTATTGTTGTATTATATGTTATTTTGCGCCTCATGTGAGCTGTTATGTCTTTTATTTATGATGTCTTATTTATTCTCCTGTACAGCACTTTGGTCAACTTTGGTTGTTTTAAAGTGCTTAACAAATAAAGTTGGATTGGATTGGATTGGATTCTTGGTATGTTATGCTGATCGACAGCCTGGAAAAATAAAACTGATGTTTAAGACTGGCTCTGCAGCATCACAATCTCCTCGTGTCTACTTAAGCTTTAGTTATGACAAAACATAAACTGACTTGCAATGAATTTGATTTGTGTCTATGTTGCTCATGGATAGATCTACTGGTCTAAAAAGAGAAATTAATGAATTATCACTTACAACTTGCTGCAAAGAGCCCACTGGTGTAGGCTGGAGAGGCACAGCAGATGGAGACTGGAGTGGAGGCACAGCAAATAGAGACTGGAGCGGAGGCACAGCAGACGGAGACTGGAGCGGAGGCACAGCAGACGGAGACTGGAGCGGAGGCACAGCAGACGGAGACTGGAGCGGAGGCACAGCAGACAGAGACTGGAGTGGAGGCACAGCAGATGTAGACTGGAGTGGAGGCACAGCAGATAGAGACTGGAGTGGAGGCACTGGGGTCTGGGAGAGGAAGACCTCTGTGGTGTCAACAGAAACCACTAGATCTGCAAGTGTGGCTTCTCCCACAAATTCCTCATATCCCTCATCTGAATGCACCTCACATGCCGACTTTGGACACACCAGATGTGCTGCATCCTGACAGTGTCAAGGAGAGGAACACCAAGGGCATCTTTCCCCTTGCCGCTCATGAGCTCCATGAGCAGCTGATCAAGAAGCCGGATAGATGTCCCCTCTCCACGGGTCCTTCTCCTGCAGTGCAGTGCAAGCTCATCTTTTGTGATGTGTCGGTCCAGCTCCCTCTCGGTCAAAGCAGGCCAGCCCTGCTGGGTTAGTTGCGCACTCTTGGCCCTTCTCAATTCTGCAACATCAGCTGCATCCCATTCAAAAATGCAGGCTGACATGCGTGCCATGAATGTGGGGTAAAGCTGATGTGCATCGGTGGTGCATCCGACTGCCAAACGACGCATGAGGTCCCAGATGTCTAAGCGGACAATGATATTTGGCCACCCACTGAATCTGGCCTTCAGCTTTGTCTCTCCCACCTCCTTGCAGCAGCCAGTGTCCACATAAAGGGCAACAGGAGGATCAACCTCGGCCGCCTGGTACATGAGGAGATCAGGACGGCTGATTTAGTTTTGCATTTTAAATCCATTCTTAAAATTCACCTTCATTCAAAAGCATTTTTATAATTCCTTGTTTGTTTATCTGAAGCACTTTGTAACTTCTGTTTTGAAAAATGATATACAAATAACGTTTATTATTATTATTACCTTTTCACCAGGCCTGCAGCCATAAGATCCAATGCTGGACCCTCACTGGCAGTAAGGACACTAATGAGCACCTGACCAACTTCGCTGCCTACAGAAGTGAGGCACTGTGCAGTGCCCTTGGCAGGTCCGGTCAGTTTCTTGGTGATCTGAAAATTACAAAAGCCAGTAATCAGAACAGTTTTTCGAGGACTGACTATATATAATATGTGGCAATACAGCTATTCTACACTACAAGGAGCCACTTGTAGCCGGGCAATAGCACAGGTTCTGGGGGCTCCTGGAAAGGTTGTGGCAACAGGCTAGGAATGGCCATGAAGGCCGCACACTCTGCTGTGTACCTAGCAACCCTCTCCACTGTGGTTCTCTTTTAGTTGGCCAATAATCCCGACCGGACCGTCCCCCAGGCCCCGCTCACGCAGGAGACGGATAACCCGTATGTCACAGGCATATCTTTGAAAAGTAAATCAATTATTTATACTATATTTCTCCACATTGAACAAAGACATGGTATATGTGTATGTGTGCATGTTGACATGTAATGTACCTGCGTGTAAGGATGACCCTGAACTCACGTGTGCCAGGTCCAGCTGCATTGCCTGACCCCATGACAGGTAGCTGGTTCTGCACTTGGTGCAGATCAGGGTCTCCGTCACCACGTTGTAATACCGGTCGATATCAAGGACCTGGCGTACCCTCCTGTGCAGACCACCGCTGGCCAGTGGATGCCGAGTGCAAGCAGGACTAGTACAGAGCAGTCGTACCTTCCACAGCCTGTATGGCATCCACAGCAGAAGAGCGTGGGTGAAGAATCTGCTGGGGGTTGGGGCCTGGTGGTATACCACAGATGGCTGTGGAGGGTAATACCACAGCTGAAGGTTGTCAAGCAGCTCCAGCTTTCCACTCGAACCACGCTTGAACAGTGCTGCAGACACCCACTTGTGGTCCTGCTTTGGCATCGTCTTCGGCCACAGTAGTGGGAGCGCATCAGAATCCTCTGGCTGAAAGGGGTTCTGCTAAGGTAAAAAAAAAAAAAAAGACCCTGCCTAAATAAACAGAAGCTGAATAAAAACATAAAATTATGTAAGCATGTTTAAAGTTAAAATGTCATTTTACCAAGTTCCTCACAACAGCAGGCTCTGCCCCAGGTTGAGGAGGTGCTGGTTGGTCCACAGACGGTGGTAACGGAGGAGCAAGGAAGAATGTGTCTGGGGATGGGCAAACAGGTGGATGAGGGCAGGGAGATGGATGAGGATGAACATCAAGGGATGGGTAGGTGGCTGTGGCTGGAGCTGAACCAGGAAACTCTCGTACCTCTGCAGTGACCTGTACCTATAGAGTTATACAGTTATGAAGAAGTTATTGTGTGTGTTTATATGCTATTATCATACATTTGTATGAAAAGAAAAACTTATCATATTGTCTTTTATGTTCACCTGGGAAGATTTGCTGGTGAGGTTGAGGTTTGGTTTTGCGGCTGATTTTTATATTTTCTTTTAAGTTTGAAAGGTCAAGATTTGGTGGCAAGCATGTGACAGCCGCAAAACCAAACCTCAACCTCACCAGACAAAACCTCGCCATCACTATATAATAAGGTATTCAAAGGCTTGAATGATAATTGGAGAATGACTAGTAACATTGGTCATTACAGTTTAAGGTCACACTTACCATTGACAAGCTGGGGATGGTTATTTTAGTCCTTTTTGAGGGACTCAGCACATCTCCGGTGTTGGATGGACTGCACTGGGGAGCAGTAGAAGGGGACACTTGTGGAGCGACAGAGGGTACCTGAAAAATACAGCACACACATATATAGTCAGTCAGTCAGACAGTCAGTCAGACAGACAACTGGCAGACACAGATGGAACGTTAGGTTTACCACAGATAAAGTGTGTGTGCTCTGGCCAGCAGTGCTTGTTGAAGCAGCAGGAGCAGGAGGAAACTGTGGAGTCACAGGAAACACAATAATCAATATTTGCAGGGTGCATGTACATGTAACTGAAGTTATGTCTAGAGTGTGAATCCACTAAGATGTTTCAACAATCCTTTTGTCTTACTGTACATGGATGTAAAGAATAATTAACCAGCGATTTTATAAAAACATTACCATCACCTTCTGTGCCTGGTTAGTACCTGTTAGTGCCTGTTGCATGCATATTTGAAAACAATAAATATATTATGTTAGCGTGTTTTGGTTAGTTTAAGCTTCGATTAACTGGTGTAATTTTACCTTATGATAAAAGTAATGCCATTTCTTCTGCAGAGGAACAGACCTGTTGCCTTGATGGGCAAACACAAACGATCCAGGTTGGAGTTAAAACACTGTATTCCGTACCAAATGAAAACACTCCCAGAATAATCACACTCCACAGCTGATACAAGTCTAAAGTAGTAGTAAAGGAGTTATCTTTGATCAGGATTTGTCATTTAACTCCCACATAAAGCAAACCTCTAGGACTGCCTTCTTTCATTTACGTAATATTAGAAAAATTAGACACATACTATCACAGACAGATGCAGAAAAACTAATCTATGCATTTGTTGCTTCAAGGCTGGATTACTGCAACTCTTTATTATCAGGTTGCCCCAATAAGTCCATTAAAACGCTTCAATTAATTCAGAACGCTGCAGCACGAGTACTGACAGGAACTAGAAAAAGAGATCACATCTCTCCTGTACTAGCTACTCTGCATTGGCTCCCTATAAAATGTAGAATTGAATTTAAAATCCTCCTCCTCACCTATAAAGCTCTTCATGGTCAGGCCCCTTCATATCTTAAAGGGCTCATAGTACCCTATTACCCCACTAGAACATTACGTTCTCTAAATGCAGGGCTACTTGTGGTTCCTATAGTCTCTAAAAGTAGAACAGGAGCCAGAGCCTTCAGTTACCAAGCTCCTCTCCTGTGGAACCAGCTTCCAGTTGTGGTTCGGGAGGCAGACACCCTCACCACATTCAAGAGTAGGCTTAAGACGTTCCTCTTTGATAAAGCTTATAGTTAGGGCTGGATCAGGTGAGTCCTGAACCATCCCTTAGTTATGCTGCTATAGGCCTAGACTATCGGGGGATTTCCCATGGTGCACTGAGCTACTCTCTTCCTCTCTCTTTCTGCACTCATTCATGTCCCATTAAAGCATGTTACTAACTTCACTTCTTCCCCGGAGTTCTTGTGCTTTCTCGTCTCGCAGGTTCTCATGGATCCTGGTGGAGCCTCCTGCCATGGTCCTGCTTGACTGCCATTGCCAATACTGTTGTTGCTGTGCACCTGTCCGTCTGTCTGTCTCTCGCTCTCTCTCTCTCTGCCTCTCTCTCTCTCTCTCTCTCTCACCCCAACTGGTCGAGACAGACGACCACCCACCTAGAGCCGGAGGATCTGTCCTAGGTTTCTGCCTTTTAACAGGCAGTTTTTCCTTGCCCTTGTCGCCAAGTGCTTGCTCATGGTGGTACTGTTGGGTCTCTGTTATTAATGTTAAAGAGTTCGGTCTAGACCTGCTCTATTTGAAAAGTGTCCTGAGATAACTTCTGTTATGAATTGGCGCTATACAAATAAAATTGAATTGAATTGAATTAAAGTCTTATTGCTACAGATGACTGTACCCCACTGTTTCCTGTGTTGAAGAAAAATCATTCAAGTCCAATTCAGGTTTGCTGTTGTGGTGTGTTTAATAAAGCATGCCGGCATCCTGGTGAACTTACATACACAGAGCAGGTCTGAATCGGTAAGTGGACCCAGAGCAAATGCTGCCACAGGAGACAGTATGAATATACATTTGAGTGCAAAGTAATTTTGAAATAATTTTTTTATTCAGTCCAACTAGCTGTTTAAGGATTTCTATATTTTTTAGGCATTGTTAAATGCTTTCTGCAATAATTCATAAAACTACAAGGGGCCTTAAGCAATTAGTTTAACAAAATAGTAGATTAAAACCAAAATCTGGCATTATATTATGTACTTCTCTTTTGTTCTCTAGATTGGTTAAAGTAAGAACACTAGCATTTGGCTTTCTCTCTGTTTTCTAGGATGATTTAGTACTACGTAACTACACTGCATGGCGATGTGGAGTCACCTTATCGAATGGAGGGTGCCTGAAAACATTGGAGAAACATATAGAGTTGCTAATGTGCTTCCAATGTAAGCAGTCAACTTCACATTGGAAACACATGCATCTATATTTGCAGCTTGTGGATTTAAATGTAGTTACCTTGTGAGTGTGAAATCCACACAAGCACCTCTGTGGCTCTCTCACCAGGGTCCTCTGACCCCTCAGTTGTAGAGGGCACGTTTCTATCTGTAACCATAAAGAATATCTCACTTGCAAAACATGTAAGAGTTAGATCTAGATATTAAGTTGACTTTTCATTTGTATTCATCTGCTCTCTGTCCAAGAAAAAGACGTGTAGCCTACATTTCTATCAAAAATGGTCCAAACAAGAAAAGACAAAAGTAAGTAAAGTGTATTGTGTCAGAGTTTTTTGGTTCATCATTTTACCTTATGATAAAGTGCATGCCATCTCTTTTGCCTAGGGGAAGGCCTGTTGCCTGCACTCGTCGGCCAGGAACCTGTAGAGGCAAACGACCTCAGCCTTGACAGCCACTCGCTTTCGTCCATAGCTTTGGATGGCAGAAAAATGGCTTCTTCAATGCCATTTTTCTGAAATATTGCAGCAAAAATGCACAACTTCAAGCGATCAAAAATGTGTGATACGAAGCAACGGCAAAACAATAGGCTACTGCATTTCCATCGCAGCCTACAACTGCAAAATAAAACAATAGTGTAACGCTACAGCAACCGACCAAACTTCTTTATATGGCAAATCTCCTAGCTTACATTAAAATACAATGCAAGGCATAAAACCACCGAATCAAAGTTTTGGCGGTTAAGTTATAAATGATAAATGTATCAGCATGCGTTACATATAATATAGTTAGCTAGTAAAAGCTCGGAAGCTAACTTACCTGTAGAGAACCGCTTACTGCCACAGATAACGTAAGGTAACTGTAGTCCCTCCTGTAGTTATAGGAGGCGGTGACATAGAAATATGGACTACGCAGCGCGATTGGTTGTCAAAATATGGACTTGGACATTTGATTTGCTAGCAAAAGATGGACTAATATGGACTACACAGCGCGATTGGTTGTCAAAATGTGGACTTTGCGATATGATTTGGCTGTATCTGTGCAGACTAGCAGCGGCTGCCCCTGGTCTATTCATGGGGTGGAGAGAGGGTTACACAGAGACTTTACAGGGTGGCTGACATCTGATTTAATCACAAACAATCACATGTATCAATATTTGCCACCAAATGAGGATATTCGCACTCAAAAACATTACACAATTGCGGTACATTACCCTCCTTAAATAAAAAGAAAAGTAAAGGTGGCATCAAAAATTAATAAATGAGGCTTAAGCCTCGCTTAGTCCAAAATGTGGCACTAACATATCATTAAATTATTATTATGTTTTTTTAACACATTTTTTAAATTAATATAAAAGAGTTAAATTAAAATTGACAGCAAGATCTGCTCTTGCCGCTGAGTGCAAACAGGTTACCTGCAGATCCTTTAGTAAATGTTCTCTAAAGGTTCTATAATGGTATTTTTAGCCTTCTTTAGTCTTTAACACCGTCTTAATGTCAGCTATACAGTTAAGAGTAAGGTTTATGTCAGTAATGTAAGAAAGGCTGACTCTAAATTGAATTGTTGGTGTTAATATTGTGTGAAATATGTAGAATTTTTGAATATTTGTTCAAAAGCTGACATTAAGCTAAATTGCTGGCTTTAAGTGTTAAATAATATTAATAATGTCTAAAAGGTGTAATATTTTAAGGTTTGTTGAAAAGCCTATGCTTAAATGGCTGGCTTTAATTGACATGAAGTGACCGTAGGAGTATTCTTGTTGGAAAAGTGGGAAAGAGTGTAATTACAATGAAAAAGTTGAATATATCTCATAACGTTTGAACGTTTCCAACTGAAAGTATGAATGATTAGATATAAGTTGACAGAGTGTACAAAGGAAAGAACACTTGGAAAAGTTTGAAGGGGATAAACAATGAAAATATAGTGTAATCTGAAAGATGAATAACATTGCATTAAGCTTTTTTGAGAAACTGAAGGAGTATCTTAGTTGGAAAATTGATAAAGAATGTAATTATGAATGGGATTAGAACACTTAATAAAGGTCATAATTATTCAAATGTTGAACAAAATGGTTGAACTAAGTATAAAGCTTGAAAAATACTTTTTTTGTGTGTCTGTTTGTCTGTGCATTAAGGCTGCAGCTACTTATGTAATTATCTACTGATTATTCCATTAATTTAGATGAACTGAGTAATGGGCAAATAAATGCTTCTGCTTTATTAAAGCAATAGTAGCAGGGAAAGATTGTGTAATGTGCAATAAAGGGAAAAAATGTTTCCCATAAGATCTTTATTATTATATCCTTCCTCGATTTATTTCAGCAGCGGGTGGAAAGGCTTCTGTTGCAACCCACTGTACTGGTAGTGGAATATTTTTAAAGTGGGGTATCAGTACTTTTACTTCTGGTTAGCACACCCACAGCCTAATTTCACCTGTGCGTTAGCGGCTGAGCCTTCCTCTTTAAGGAAGGTGGAGTCTAGCAGGTTTGTTTTGGGAAGTGAGTCTTTCCCGGGGTCTGAGGAGTAACACAACTTAAGTCAGCTTGTAGGTTGTAGTATAATAGTTATTGAAAGGTTGTGTGTTCTTTGCTACCACAGAAAATAAATAAAAAGTCTATGTAGAAGTTGTCAGGACTATTACAGACACTACACTAAAGACAATAAAGACAGTTGAGACAAAAGGACTCTGAGATGGAAACACAAATTATTTATATATGTACAGTTTAGTTTTTAGTCAAAGCTGCTCAAATATTTGCACACCATTTTTACTTGCATATTGCATATAGCGTATATGCTTTTCATTTATAGTGTTATATTTTCTATTATACATTCCTTTTACAAGTATTCGCATTTCATGCTGGTGGAACATAACTAGGTTGTAAGTGGAGTTTCAAATGCAAAAAGAGGACACAGGAGCAAGGGAAATAAAAATAGAATAGCCAATTTATTGAAAACTGTTCATCAGCTGATCAAAAAAGACCATAGCCCAAAAAAACCTTAAAAAAGAACTAAACGTGTCAAAAAAGGAGTCAGTAGTGAGTAGCCCCACCGTTCATGTTGATCACAAAATTTCATCCATGATCTGGAACTGACGTCCATTTTTGTAAACGTCCCTTGCCAGCCATCCCCAAATGTTCTCAATGCGATTTAGATCAGGGGAACACGCAAGATGGTCCAAAAGAGCGTTATTCTCCTGGAAGAAGTCCTTTGTCAGGCGGCTGTTGTGAACTGCAGCGTTGTCCTGTTGAAAGACCATCATCACCACACAGACGTAGGCCCTGAGTCAAGAGGGATGGCCGCTGCAACATCTCCACATACACCCCTGCACAACCTGAAGCTACATTGTTCCATTGAAGGAAAAAGCACCCCAGATCATGATGGAGTCTCCTCCACTGTGTCGCGTAGAAAACATCTCCAGTGGGATCTCCTTTTAATGCCAGTAACATTGGAAGCCATCAGCACCGTTCAGGTTAAATTTTTTGTCATCAGAGAATAAAACTTTCTTCCACCTTTCAGTGTCCCATGTTTGGTGCTCCCTTTCAAAGTGCAAACGGGCAGGTTTGTGGCATTGGAGGAGATGTGGCCTTTAAAGACATTTTGTTCTTTAGGCCCTTCTGTCTCAGATGCCATCTGATGGTTACTGGGCTACAGTCAGCATCAGTAAAGGCCTTAATTTGGGTCGAGGATCAGCCTGTGTCTTCACTGAAAGCCCATCGGATCCTCCAGATCAGCGCAGGTGAAATTTTCTTAGGTCTACCACTTGACATTTTTGTCACATAACCATCAGGACCTTTTAGAAATTTAAAATGACTGTCGTACTGCATCCTTTCCTCCACTGACAACATATTTCAGTTGTTCAATCTTGCAATAATATTAACTCATATTGACTACAATAGCATTCAAAAGTCAGCAGTGACACAAGATTCTGTGTGCCAACCCACCCACTCCCATGCGACTCCACCGCATTACATAAATGTATTGTTTAAAAAAACTCTCATTGGAACCAGGTCTGAGCAGAAGTGAGCGGGGTTGGAGCTGTATTATCAAAGTCCTGCCCATACACACAGTTGACTCAATTGCAAGCTGGGCTCAGCTGTCAATCATGCCATGAAACCATCTATATAGTTTTTATAGCAAACCCCCTTTTTATTACGGGCCCTTGAAAACATCTCATTCTAAGGTAACCAAATCTCAGCTATTCTTATTTTCAGGTGATCATACACTAATAAAAATATATCTATAAATATTATACTGCATTTCTGTCAATAGATTTGGCTGAGAAGGATTAAAAACATTTTCTCTATTTTGCAAGGAGCAAGTGCAGAAGTAATATGGGAGAAATGTGATATTTTTTCCTAGTGTACAAGAGTCAAATATACAGCAGTAATAGTTGTAACAGGGTCATACATTAGTAAAATGTAGTATTATAATTACAAAATCTATGTAAATAGTTATAACCTGTCATCCTAAGCCTCCAGAATTAATATGTGGAACGTCTGAGATTCAGTTTGATATCTCTTTCTTTGTCTGAGTTTAACATCAGAAAACTGCATCCTGTTTTTTTTTTTGTCATAAAAGGCATGCTTGAATCCTCTCCTGTGGAACCAATTAAGAATAGGCTTGAGACGTTACTTTGATAAAGATTGTGTTTAGGGCTGGCTCAGGTGAGACTGGAAGCTGCTTTAGGCCTGGACCGGGACACTTTCCATGATGCGCTGTTCACATTTATGTCCTATTAAAGCTGCAGTATTAATTTATTTAAAAAATAACTTTATATTTGCTCCTCCTAGCACTCCTAATGAAAGAAAACAACCAATCAGAGCCAAGGAAGATCTACTATCTTCAAGGCACTAACGTGCTAAAGTGTCTTTCCATATTTCTTGGCTCTCATTGCTTGTATTGTTCGGGGGCAGTGGATTCTTGCAAATGCCATTAGAAGTGCTGGTTCCCATGGATCATGGTTGTGCCTGGATCTACTTTAACTATTAAAGTTGTTATTGTTACTGTTATGTTTCCACTTACGTAGAAACATTAACACTGACAACCAACAAAGAAGAACTCAGGAAGATGTGAGACAGTCAAAGAAATGGGATTTATTTACAATACTTCAGTGAAAAGGTAAACAACGAATGTAGGTTTGAACAATGTGGGGGGAAGAGGGACCTGTGGGCTTTTACCAATAAAACAAACAAAGTACAATCATAAAGGGCCTAGCTCAACCTTATGTGTGAAAAGAAAAAAGGAAACAAAAGGCCTGACTGTCTTGCCTACAAAAAGCATCTAAAAATAATAAAAGTACAACAGTGGCAACAACCCATAACCTGGTGTGACAACAATTTCTTTCTACGTGTGTAGATGTAGAGGATACACCAGTCTTACCTCAGTCCCTAGTCCCCACCACAAACCTTCCTGCCCAACAAAGCAAAGTCAGAGAGAGAGAGAAAAACAAGAGCGAGGCTTTTCAAAGGTCACTCCGTCTCTGATTGGCCAGAGTGTGAGCCAATCCATGGCTCTTTTCACAAGCTAGCAGCCAATCTTCCAATCTTCCACCTCTCACCTGCAGGACTGGGGAAGAGAGAGAGAGAGAGAGGAAGAGACACACACAAATCTATACACGTAACAGTTATTATTATTGTTGCTGTGCATCTCTCTCTTTTTTTCTAAATGCTGCGGCACATGTTATCAAATTGATGAAGACGTTTTCTTAATTTGCTGGTGTTTTGTCTATTGGCATGTGTTTGCATGCATTGAGCTATGGGCCATCGTAATCAACAAAGCAACAACAAAGTCTCTCTAAAACTATTCCTTCTTTCAGCTGTATTGCCATGCCATGATAATGTCATTTTAAAAAAAAAAGACTCTCTGTGATGCAGTCTCTGTCAATTGTGTTTAAATACCTAACCACTTACTTATGCAGCTTTCTGTGCTGCCAGAAAGATAAATGAATAGCTTTAAATTGCATGCAGTCAGAATAAAAATGATAGCCACATTGATGTACTTGGTATATGGTAAAATTTTTTTGATCATGTTTTTAATCAGACATACTGTATAAATATCTAGGTAAACATTCAGCTCTAGTTGAAAAAGAAACTAATGCTACATTCATGCAATTAATCAATTGCTAATTTTTCAGTCTCGCTGAAAAGAGTTTTTATATTTTATATTTCAAACCTTCAACTATTAACTAGAGCTTTGTATGCTACATTATGGGGAGAGTTCAATGTTAACACTACTCAGATGTAAGTCCAGGTCAAGATGAAAAGAGCTCAGAATTATACCGGGCTTGGTCAAATGGAAGTGGAGTGATGATCACCTTCCACAGCTCCTGCAGAAATTGATAAGAACGTATATTAATAAAAACCATACTGAACCCCTCTTGGGGAAATTCATTCTCTGATCTGATGAAACTGGGGGTGCCAGATCGCAACAAATACCATATCTTACTTGCATAATTACAGATCTCCAAAAAGGTTGTAACTTGAGTAGTAGTAAAAAATAAAAATCTTTTTATAGCACCAACACAAAAACACATCTCATTGTTCATTCTATTGAGATTTTATTATGTGTAATATATTCTATTAGGAGTTTCAAATTTGAGATATTATACCTCACTGCTTGCTTACAAAGGACCTTTCAGTTGTGTTTAAGAGTCATCCATCTTATGTGTGTTTATAATAGTTTAGATTATAATTATTCATATTATAATAATACAATTGTTTACAAAGCTGAGTAACTAGTCATTTTACTTGCACTTTACATAACACAACAGCTTCACATAGACAAAATCTTACTCTGATAGATTTAGAGTTGGAGCTGAATTCACGTTTTAGATTAAAGTGAGGTTAGGCTTTAAGATCAAGGCTTGTTTAAAGTTTAGCACCAATTAGTGTACAATAATGTGTAAGCGTTTCCCTTACCAATTGCTCAATGCGTTCATACAGAAGAAACTGTGCAAAGTTAGAAGGGAGCTGCTCCACGCTGAAGCTGCATCGTCCATCCACCAGATCTTGGAGTTGGGACAGGCAGTGTCTGAAATGGTCATAGGCTTTGCAGGAAACATCCATGTGTCGCAGGGTGAAGTTCATCCTTGTAAGACATTCAGACATAGTAGGAAACATGATTACTGCTTGAGCTTGTAACTGAACACTAGTGAAGCTGAATGGTCCGTGTATGTTTTGGTCATTGGATTTTCCTTTCAGAAACGGGTATTAAAAAACAGAAAACGAGTGCTTATTTGATTTTCGTTTTAAAATACAAAAATTAAAATTGAAATACAAGGCGTTTTTCTTTTTCATGGTCAGAAAGGGATGAGCGAAATTTAAAAAATGTTTCGATTTTCATTTTCTGTTTCATAAAACAAAAAATAAAATCACTAGAAAACAGAAACAGAAAAAAGGCCTGTTTTTTCATATTCTGAGACCGGATGTTGTCATTCACAGGACGGTGCTGTGTAGAAGAAACAGTAGGCTAGTAGACTGTGGTCAATCCAGCCGTGAGTCCGATCTCCGTGGTCAAATCAGCCGCACTTAAATTTAGAGTGTACAAGTATTCTCAGCATTATGGTAAATGCGGAGAAACAGCGTATTTACTTCCGGTTTTCAAAATAAAGGTATTTAGAACAGTAAGCTATAATTAAAATATGTTACATTAAAGTGTTGTGCCCCTGATGAATAAAAAAACACTTTATATCAAGTATCTTTACTGCACCAGTGTGGAGAAATGCCAAAATAAAAGTCTCATATTTATGCCTCCAGAGATTGCATATTTGACCATATTTGAGGTACTGTAAAAACATATTGCTCAGTGTTTCCTGGCTACTGATGGTATATTTGACTTTTACACATATGAGACTACAAACATACTTAATATCAAGCATTTTTACTGTACAAATTTGGAGAAATTCAACAATAAAAGTCCCATATTTGTACCTCCATGTGCCATATTTTCATATATTTGAGCTACTGTAAAAACACTTTGCTCAACAATTCCTGGCTATGGATGATATATTTGACTTCTACACATCTAAGACTACAAGTATACTTAATATCAAGCATTTTTACTGTACCAATTTGGAGAAATTGAAGAATAAAAGTCCCATATTTATACTTCCAGATTCCATATTTTCTTATATTTGAGCTACTGTAAAAATGTAAACTGTATGTCGAACCACCTGCAACAGCTGTCACACTGAATAATATAAAAAAATAATATGTGAGGAAGAGACAGTAGGTACAATGGTGTTTTGAAGTTAAAACTAATTATTTTTCCCTTTTACCTACAAATGGACACAGCAGAGCTGCAAAATAAGAAGAATGTGGACTGGCATTGAAAAGTAAACAAATTAGAATTGTGTAGGATTTTGTGTTTAGTGTTTAGTGTTTATATTATCAAGATGTTATTTAACATTTGTGTGAAATTTTGTCACGATTACTGCAGCATTATTGAAGTATAATGAAAATTCTTCACCCATAGCCTGGAAATATTGAGCAATATGTTTTTACAGTAGCTCAAAAATATAAGAAAATATGGAATCTGGAAGTATAAATATGGGACTTTTATTCTTCAATTTCTCCAAATTGGTACAGTAAAAATGCTTGATATTAAGTATACTTGTAGTCTTAGATGTGTAAAAGTCAAATATACCATCAGTAGCCAGGAAACACTGAGCAATATGTTTTTACAGTACCTCAAATATGGTCAAATATGCAATCTCTGGAGGCATAAATATGAGACTTTTATTTTGGCATTTCTCCACACTGGTGCAGTAAAGATACTTGATATAAAGTGTTTTTTTATTCATCAGAGGCGCATGAAACACTTTAATGTAACATATTTTAATTATAGCTTACTGTTCTAAATATCTTTATTTTGAAAACCGGAAGTAAATACGCTGTTTCTCCGCATTTACCATAATGCTGAGAATACTTGTACACTCTAAATTTAAATGCGGCTGATTTGACCACGGAGATCGGACTCACGGCTGGATTGACCACAGTCTACTAGTCTACTGTTTCTTCTCCACAGCACCGTCCTGTAAATGACAACATCCAGTCTCAGAATATATAAAACAGGCCTTTTTTCTGTTTCTGTTTTCTAGTGATTTTATTTTTTGTTTTATGAAATAGAAAATGAAAATCGAATAATTTTTAAAATTTCGCTCATACCCTTTCTGACCATGAAAACGAAAAACGCCTTGTATTTCAATTTTAATTTTTGTATTTTAACACGAAAATCAAATAAGCACTCGTTTTCTGTTTTTTAATACCCGTTTCTGAAAGGAAAATCCAATGACCAAAACATACACGGACCCTGAATACTGACAGTTATCAATTCAGCGCTTTAAGCGCCATTTCCGGTTTACTTACTGCTCCTGTTTACAGCTTTTGCTGCTGTTAGCTCTGTCCAGTGAACGCTATAAACAAATTAGTTTTACTTGTTCCAGCGGTTATTTACCCGCTTAACATTTAAGTGTAGACTAGTTCTACCTAAACACTCAGAGCTACTTCCTTCTTTTAGCGACTTTTTGCTTAAAAAATTTCAAAGTTTTCACTCATGCTAGCTTCATTAGCATTAGCAGTTAGCGATGGCTTCTCCCTCTTCCTCTGCTGCTCTGTCTTGCTCAGTGTGTCAGATGTTAAGTTATTCATCTGCCTCCTTTAGAGATAATGGTACTTGTATTAAATGTAATTTATTTACTGCGCTGGATGTGAGGCTCAGCGATCTAGAGCAGGGGTCACCAACACGGTGCCCGTGGGCACCAGGTTGCCCCCAAGGACCACATGGGTCGCCCGCAGGCCTGTTCTAAAAATTAACATTGAACCACCACCCTTTAAAGTCATTGTTGATAATTATTGTGAGAAATCATTAACGAGATCAGTGTCTTCACATAGATGAGTATCATTAATCATTAATAATAATATATAACTAAAGGCAAATTGAGCAAATTTGTTATTTCAGAAGAGTGTATCAAACTGGTAGCCCTTCATATGACTCAGTACCCATGAAGTAGCTTTCAGTTTAAAAAATGTTCTGATCTAGAGGCACGGTACCGCACCACAGAGTTATATTTAGCCGCAATAGCTAGCCAGCCTCCAGTAGTCGGTGAGGGCCAACCCAGTGTAGCTTCTGTTAGCCTTCCACCGGTAGTTCCCGAGCAGCCGGGAAGCCAGGGAGACTGGGTGACTGTTCAGGGGAAGCATAAACAGAAGAAGCCCATAGTTCACCACCAACAGGTTAATGTTTCTAATAAAAATTCCCCACTCAGCGACACACCCACTGAGGAAACAACTCTGGTTATTGGCAGCTCAATAGTTATAAACGTGAATCTAGCGTTAATGTGGAGTCGCTGTGTAGATATGCAAAAACGACGTCAGACTCCGTAGTTTTCTCTGGACCCCTGCCCAATCTGACCAGTGATGACATGTACAGCCGCATGTCGTCATTCCACGGCTGGCTGTCGAGGTGGTGTCCAGTGGGCTTTATTGATAACTGGCAGCCTTTTTGGGGTAAACCTGGTCTGATTAGGAGAGACAGCATCCATCCCACTGTGTACGGAGCAGCTCTCTTATCCAGAAATATGACAAAGTTTATTTCTAAAACCTGACAATCCAGAGTTGGGACCAGGAAGCAGAGCTGCCGTCTTACACACTTCTCTGCGCTTCCACTAGAACAGTCACCCACCAAAAACCCCATAGAGATTGTGTCTGTCCCCTGACCACCTAAATTATTTAAAGAAATAAAAACAAAAGGGATTAAACATAAAAACCTAATAAAAATTAAAACAATCTCCTCAGTAGCACCAAATAAAAGAATGAAATGTGGACTGTTATATATCAGGTCTCTGTCGTCTAAAGCAGTTCTAGTGAATTAATGAATTAATACATATTAATACTAACATTCCTCGAGGCACCGGCCGAGGAGGTAGTAGCAGCCATATATGATTTGAGTGTTTTAATGGACCCTAAACCTAAACTAAATTAAAGCTGCAAGCAGCGTTGGGCGGGACCTCGCACTCCACGCAACTTGGGGCGGGCTGTGGCTGCGTCGCGTGCCGTCGTAACAAGTGCGGACCACAACATGAAAATCTGCCATTAATCAGCTCATAATCGCCACACAGCGCTTACTTCCTGTTGCCAGTAGGTGGCGCTATCACTATGTCTGAATGTTGTCATGTAGACATGTTCAAGGCGAGACTGATAACACACGTGAAGTTTCATTGAGATTGGACCACGTACGCTGAAGTTATGAGGACGTGTTCAGGGCAAAACTGTTTCAGAATATATTAAGTTTATTGGAGATTGGACATTGCACTATTATGAGCACTATTTTATGGCGAATCTGCTGAAATGGACAAGTTGTCACTGGTACGCGGTTTAATGTACAGTCACAGCTCAACTTTTCAATGTTTGTATGACGACAGAATTCAAAGTGGCCAACTTTGACCTCATGCCACAGACACGCTCAACGTACAGTCTCAAATAGCACAACGTTTAATCAGCACCATTTTTTGACTGTACTGACCAATTTTGAAGCAGATCCGATAAGGATAGGAGTTCGTTCAAATACAAGGCGAAAAATTCACCGAAAATGCGCATGGAATTCACTATGGCCAACTTTGAGGGCACGCCACGGACACGCCCTTCAACGTACATGCACATAGCACAACTTTTAATATGAACCATTTTTTGACTGTACTCACAAATTTTGAAGCATATCCGTTAAATTCCGTAGGAGGAGTTCGTTCAAATACAACGCGAAAAGTTTGCCGAAAGTGAAAATGAAGATCAAAATGGCCGACTTCCTGTGGGGTTTCAGGTATGGGTCCAAGAGGCTTTTTTTGTACGTCCCGGCATGTTACACGAGCCTACCGAGTTTCGTACATATCGGTGAAACGTGGCGCCGGGGCTGCTGTTTTTTTATCCTGTAGGGGGCGCTAGACACACGACAAACATGATTTTTGGTATGTGAGCTTCAGGCACTACTGTACACGTACCCTGTGAATGTCATATTCATAACTATTACGGTCTCCGCACAGTGATTTATCATGCCAAAATAGCGCCACCTAGTGGCGTATTTTTTTTTCCTTT